AGGCATTGCGTCTATACGATCAATCATCCGAAGGTATAGCAGATCGAGAAATTATCCGCTGTCATGCTGTTCTCGGTACATTTTACAAATATACTAAACGGTATAAGTTAGCATTGAAACACTTCTCTACTGCTCTTTCACTATGGCGAATGACAGCTGGCCCCATGGATGCTGATCGTTCTATCGGTGCAGTTTATTATCATACGGCTGATATTTATTACAAATTACGTTTGCCGTATCCGTCATCCATTGCTCAATACTTTTATTTCTGGAATCAATATCGAATTGGCCAGATGAATTCTCAGCAGAGAACAAGCTCATCATTAACTGAGTCCAATCCTGGGCATATCAATGGGTTTTCTATCCAAATTCTAATAGACCTCGATTGAAAATAAAGGAGGGGACGCTTAAGAGTTGAAATCGCACCCCCTCCGTCCCCCTCAAATCTATTCCTAATTCACTCAAACCCGTCGAACTCAACCCGCTAAATTCAAAAATGAAGGAATTAAGCACTCCTCAAACATCAATATCCATAGATATCGCTTAGTTTTCTAGCAGGTAAATACATGGTTTTCACCCTGCGTCGACCCTACCGTGAAGAGAAAATGATGCAGGTCCACTCTGGAAACCATATACGTCAGTGCAACTCATTGAGCTCTACAAAATCACTTAGTTTCCTTTTTTAAAAAAAAGTGGCCCTATGCATTAAAATCCAGTCGTACGTCAGTTCAAAGCCTGTTTTCCTAGTTGTGATCGCTTTTTTTACTGAATTTCGCCAAAACGGCGGTACCTTTATTAAAATACATTTCACATTTGGAATCAGCGCAAAAAAACTAAGTGAACCAGTGTATATTTAATGTTGTTGCTGCAACTTTCCTTTTCGGTCAGTATTCTGCCTCAGGGTACCGCTCAACTATCTGCAAAATAGTGTATCTCAGACAAAGACTTCGGTTATTCCCTTTTCTGAAAGAAAGGGTTATAGCGTCATAAATCAGGCCACTAAAATGCAATAAGTTTGTTTGTTTGTTTGCATAATCCAATCAGATTGCAGCATTTCATAAATCAATAAAATTTAACCAACATCATTAGAAAATGACTGATGACAGGTAATCGGGGTCGAGGATCACGAATCCGAGGTTAGTTTCTCGAAATTCCACTCAGCTCATTAGCTAATTAGGCGATGAAAATTTTCTTGGATGTCGAGTAAGGGTCGACCGAAGGGTGATCGGGGTCGAGGATCACGAATCCGAGGTTAGTGTTCCTTAATTAATTATTAGTTTTTCATTAACTAGCCACGACTTAAACATCCATTGCCAGAGTAGACCGAAGGGTTTCTGACGTCGGAAAATTCGAATTTGAGGGTGAATTTCGTCTTAGTCGCTGACCCTAGGCTTGTTCCTTCCTCTTTACAAAGGAGACATTTTTCTTTTTCTGTTCTGAAATCTTTTCTAGAAGATGATGAGCTGAACGCTATCCACGGACGTCATGTGTACAAAGATAGTAGCTCAAGAACTTACACGAAAATATCTAATGCATTGTACATAATGATGTTTCTAATTGAAGAAATCCGAAAAATTGATATGAGCTTGGTATGATCTTTGCTTTGTAGGCTACATACATCATGTCCTTTCATGGAAATTTAGTAGAAGTAGTTCGCAAAGTGATATACCCGTCGGTGAAATTTGATCTTAGTAACTACAGACGCGTGGACTATACATACAGTATTCTGAACACATACAGCACTATGAAAGATGTTTGTTTCGTAGCAAATCATACAATATGGCTTTCTTATCTAGTTTCTTTTGATAGTCGGATGAATCGAAGATCATGACTGTCGAAGCGACAATAAAAGAAAACCCAATCGTTCAGTTTAAAAGTTGATCTAAAGCGAAAGGAATAGCAGAGACAGCATGGCAAAGGCTAGCCGTGAGTGACTCAACGGAGGAAAGTCGACGAACGACTAGGCGTTTAAATGCTAGATTAATCCTAAAGTGTACGCTTAGAACAAGTAACGCGGTATAGTGGCCGCTAAACCCTCTACTGAAAGGATAGTATTAGAGTGCTACTATTCGTCCAAAGAGAGAAAAAAGTTATTTCAGTTGAACGATCTGATCATTTGATAATTTGTCAGAATGTTTTACGCAGCCCAATTTCGCTTCCTGAAATCTTCTGAAATTATAACGTCTAGTCGTTTCTCGGCCTCTCTCCGGTCGACCACTCACCGCTAACCGTCGGTACCTAATAATTGTCTAATGATATTTTCATATTATAAAGTACCTTGTTCTTGTTGAGTCTGTTTCTAGCAAAGTTGCCGAAATTTTTCACAACTTCGTGACCTACAGTATATCTTTTATTATCATTTTTAGTAGAATGAGTTGGTGATCTACATAGTTTTTCCTAGAAGCTCGAAAAGACGTGATATATATATACCTTAGAAAAATTATGGACACTATGCGACAATCTTATAAATCACACTTTACAACTAATTTTCAAAAGAATCATCTAGTCGGTTGGCCACTCACGGCTAGCTGTCCCCTTGCGTACTCATTTTACTATCTTAACTCCATTCGGACGAAGATGCGTTCCGAAAATGAGCTCATTTCGGAAAATCAATTCATAATCAAAAACTTAGAAATTTTACATAGCTATATGATTCTCTGGAAAAGGTTTCAATCTTCTCTCCACCACGAGGAACCTTAAATAGCTGCCAACTATGTTCGTGGAGAGCAACGATTAATTTCTGACCAAGAAATCTTAAAGCTCTATAAAAATCACAAAATTCATCCTTGAAAATATTATTCTGAAGATCGACGACTAGTCGCTCGTGGGCCACTCGCGGCTAGCCGTTCCATGAACATTTTCACTCTTCTATTCCTTCTTTGAAGTCACCCTCTTTATGCTACTGTGACTGTTGAAGACAACACTTGACAAGCAAAACATTATTTTGAATGACTGGTATCAGATGAGATTCGTATAGTATACCTGTTTATAAAAGTATGTGATCTCATTAATATGCTGATGACTATGGAGATCCAGCGATCGGACGTCAGTCAGTTATTCCATTTTGCTCTACATATTGCCGCTTAAAACATTATCGTCTGAAAAACTGATCTTTTGCCACAAAAAAACTAACGCCGTATTCGAGATCCCCGCCCTCGATTGCCCTTCGGTCAACCCTTACTGCTTTCAACTAGTACTTAGATAATTTTCAAGTAAAACGCACGGAAGGACGGACGGAAGAACATCAACTCGTTTTTTCTGTAATATCTGCTCGACGCATAACCCTCCTTTCAGTAGAGGGAACAAATTAACAAGAACTGAACACCAAGCCTACATAAAATGGCGAACTCAGGGAACAGAGCCGCCGATCATCGATTCCAATCATCCATGTCCACACACCAACACCCCAAAAAAGAACCGATCAACAGCCCCCTCCCACCCTCATCCATCGACCAATGCGTTCACCCAAGATCCCCACCCACGTTCATACATCCACCCCAAAGTTTCACCTCAGACCCTCACCCTCAAGATTTTAGGAAAAAACGTTTTTTTGATCTTTGACCCTGACACAAACAGACAGACAGACAAACTATTTTATTTCATATGCCCCTCTCTACAGTCGAGAGAAAAAAGAATCTCCAAACAAATAATTCATCTTTGTAAATATTTTTTTCCTGTAGACATAATTATATTATTTAATAGAAACCTCTTTCATCATACGTGTTTTATGACGTCTTTAGATAAAACGAAATGTCGTGACAATGATTGATAATGTAATTATTTTTGTTGATTACTAACTATGAAATTGATATGTCTTTAGAGATATTAAATCCAAAGTTCATTAAATGAAAGCAACGTTTAATTTGAAAGAACAGAATTTCATAATGAGAACGATATTGATAGATCGAGAATTGTGTAAACGAGAGTTGGAATGTATTTTCTTTCTCATCAATCGAATTTTATCTTTAACATTTAAAAAGTTTTAGTCAATCATTGATTTAAAAGTCTATTCTAATACATTCATTTCTTGTTTTTCATAAAAATGATACAGACATTTAGAAAACGACAGAAGAGATTCTGTAGAGAAGAAATCAAAGCTTTTTTTAATCTAGGAATTCATTGTTGTACTTGAAAAAAAAAACAAAAAAAGTTCTTTGAGTAGTTTTCGACGTCATTCTTTAATATGAACTAATATACTTTATACGGGCAGGGCTAGTGATAATGCAAAATATGGACGTATATCAATGACTTTATAGAAAATGTATGAAAAATAAAAAGATTTTATCAAGTATTTGATGTTTGCACTCACTTTTTTACTCTTTCAATATTCTCGTAAAAAACTTCGTACTTCTGTCTTATCACTTTCGCATTTTTAATTATATTTGACATTCTTGCTTAACTGTCTAGTTTCTTCTATTGATATTTAATACAGGCCGTCAAGTTTAATCAATCATTATCTAATAAAAAACGAGATAATATAATATAGAAATCACCTATATGATAATATCCATTTCTTTTCTAACTGATTTAATTCTGTTAAGCGAATCAGGTAAATGCATTTTAATCATAATAAATATTTTGATTGTCAGTTATAAAATTATCTCATTATTTAATCGAATTCTTATGACGTTTTAGTCTTGAATCAATCGTATAAAATGTGAACTTTGAAAGTAGATTGTATTACTACATGGATAATGAGTTTCAAGTGCATTTTACATAGAGATGAAATGAATGTCTTCTGATGTTTCGTCTCATAATATTAGCAATGGATAGAAATCTTATTGGAAGAATCCAAGATTTTCAATATTATTAAATGATGAACAAAAAGTATTGTATTATTATTGAAAAGAATTCGATTTCATTTCATTTCATTTTCTTCTCCTTTATTTAGTGTTTTAGATTCAATGTCCTTCATCAGTAAATGAGATTTAGTTTTCATTTTTAAATAAATAATATTAGGTTCAAACGAAAAAAGAATCTTGTCATCTATTATTGTTGATATTGATCTTTATTCAATATGAACTTTCTTTGTTTTTTCTTTTTCAGATAAATTATCAATTAAGAAATGAATTCTCCATCAACAAGTGTAATTTATGGATTTTTTCAATCTGCATGTTCTCATCCCCAAAAAGCAGCAGTTGAACTTGATGGTCAAATGTGGACTTATGGTGAACTTTTGTCAAATGTTATTTGTGTTGCTTCTCATTTGAATATTGAAATTGGTCAAATTGTTTTTCAATATGTTGAACGAAGTTTGGAAATGATATGCGGTATTTTAGGAATTCTTTGTGCAGGTGGTGTGTATTGTTCATTAAATTCGGACGAACCAATTAAACGTACTCGAACAATTCTTGATGAAGTTCACGGACAATTTGTTTTAATTCATGAAAATACACGAGAAAAATTTCTTCAAGTCAATTCTCAACAAATCAAAACGATCGATTTAGCTGAAATTCTTTCGAAAAAGATTCCCGAAGAATTTTTTCAAAAAGGTTATTCTTTTCGATATCGATTCACCTTTCAATGTTTTCTTTCTTTTAGAATTCATCTTAACACAAGAGAATTTTTCTTTTATTATTTGTACATCTGGTAGTACAGGTAAACCTAAAGTTGTATTACATACTCATAGAAGTCTTGCAGCACATGTTCTTATTCGAAATAATTGGCAAAGAAAAGATGTGGATAAATTTCTTCAATTAGCTGCATCATCATGGATTATTCATGTGCTTGAAATTTTCATAACATTAACATCAGATACAGCAGCAACTCTTGTTCTTTTACGACCAGGTGATCATTTAAATACAGATCGACTTTATAAAACAATCAAAGAAAAACAAGTCACTATTATTCGAATAAGTTCATCGATGTTGAAATTATTAATTGATTATATGGAATTAACGAAGAAAAAAGATGATGATATTCTTGAAAATATTCGCATTTTATGTCTTGGAGGAGATCCTCCTAAAATTCATTATGTTCTCAAATTAAAATTCTTTATGCCAAATGCACGTATTTTCTTTGTTTATGGTTTAAGTGAAGGTACAGCTGCTGTTGGATGTTACTATGAATTTACTGGTAATGAAACAATGGATGGTGTTCATACTTTACCAATTGGTTATCCACAATTAGGTTATAAATGTTTACTTATTAATACTGATAATAAAGAAATCATTTCTTCATCAACTCCTCATGTTATTGGTGAATTATATATTGGAGGTAAGATTTCACTAAGTCCAATACTCTCGATCATTCGAATTTTAGTCGTAAAGTTGATTAATTTAACTGCAGATACTTTTTTTTTCAGTTCAATTCACAGGGAGAAAAGAAATGAAATTTTGTTTAATTGCAAATAGTATCTGAAGTACAACTGTGTAATGACACCCTCAACTTCTTTCGATTTCGACTTGAAGTTTGAACATTCTTAGATTTTTTTTCATTAAGAAAAAACTTAAATGAAAATATTTCTTTTTTTCTTTTTATTAATTTGTAGGTCGTGGTATCTTTCATTGTTATTATGGAAATCCTGAATTAACGGAGAAAACCAAAATGATCATTAACAATGAACGATTCTTTAAATCAGGTGATTTAGCTGAATACAATGAAAAAGGAGAACTTGTCTACATTGGTCGTATTGATTTTCAAATTAAAATCAATGGACAAAGAGTCGAAGCAGGTGAAATTGAAATGACAATTATGAATTGGTCACCAGATGAAATTACTGGTTGTTTAGTTCTAAAATTGACGGAAAATGACAAAGATTCTCTTGTTGCTTATTTGATTTCTAAAAATAAACAAATTAATGTTGAATCATTAAGAAATTATTGTCGTGAACGACTTCGTCAATATATGATTCCAACGCATTTTCTTATATTAAATCGTTTTCCTTTAAATACAAATGGAAAAATCGATCGAAGTCAATTACCATTTCCATCTGAAAATCAATTAATCGAAGATTTACAAAATTATGAAAAACCTATGAATACTTTAGAAGAAGAAATTCATTCTTTATGGTGTTCGATTTTGAATTGTAAGAAAATTTCTCGTCATACAAATTATTTTTCACTGGGTGGAACATCACTTTCATTAGTACAACTTTTTAATCATTATCAATTTCATTTAGCAAAAGATAAACAATTAAATATTTTTGATTTTTTCAATCATCCAACAATTGCTGAACATGCACAATTTGTTGAAAATGATCAAGGAAAATCTCTTCTCGTATGGAAACCTTTACATTTAATTCGAGGTAAAATCAAAGAACAACAAAGATTTTCTTCTTCTTAAGAAAAAATCGTTTTTTTTCTTCTAAAGGTCAAACTTCATTTGCTCAAGAACGAATTTGGTTAGATGAAATTGTTCGTTTTCAATCGAATGAAACAAAAAAATTGGCGATCTATAATGAAACATTGATGTATAAGGTGACATCTTCTTCTCTTTCAATATCTCGTCTTCGAAATGCTCTTTCACTTGTCATTCAACAACATTCATCACTTCGAACGCGTATTTCGTATGAAAATGAAAATTTAATTCAAGAAGTTCTTCCAATGTCAAATGAACTTTATGAATTCGAAATCACAATTGTTAAAAATGAAAATGATATTATGAAAATAATTCATTCTGAAGAAACGAATTCATCTCTATTTAATCCAAGTCAAGGTCGTGTTTTTCGTTGTCATTTATTAACTTATTCATCTCATGATGATTATCTTCATGAAAATGATCTTCTTCTTTTTAATTTTCATCATCTATCAATGGATGGAATGTCAAATGTTATTTTTATTAAATCAATTCAACAAGCGTATAAAACACAACATCTTTCCGATGATTTACAATCTTCTTCTTTAACTTATCTTGATTATGTTCAATATGAACGAATAGAAGATATGTCTAATGCACGACACTATTGGATTGATGCTTTAAAACATTTGAAAACATCACATATTCCATATAATTCTTCGAAACGAACAGGAAATGGGTTAACAATGTCATTTCAACTTGATTCTTCACTTGTAAAAGATTTATTTCAATTTGTAATTCAATCGAATTTGACTTTATTTCAAGTTGGTTTAACAACTTTCTTTATTTTTCTTTCAAAAGTTTTTAATGAAGAAAAAGATGATCATCTTTGTACTTTGATTGTCTTAGCCAATCGATATCGCCATGAACTTGAAAAGATGATTGGTTTATTTGCTAATTCATTACCATTTCCAATTCAAATGAATTCGAATGAAACATTTCAACAAATGTCTTCTCGAGTACAACAAATTTGGTTTCAACTTTTACCTCATTCTCATTTACCATTTCAAGAAATTGTTAAACTTTATCCTTCTCTTGGATCTTTATTTACTCAAACAACATTTATTGTTCAATCACCAACACAAAATGGAATGCAAAACATTGAACTTGATGAAAATATTCAATTGGAATTGATTGAACGATATAAAGTCGCAGGAAATATCGCTAAATTAGATTTCTCCTGTACTCTTCATGAAGATCGAATCAATGAAACGATTTCTATATCAATCAATGCTTCTCGAGATGTTTATGATCAGACAACAATATCAACAATGGCACAACGTTTTCAGAATTTACTTCGACAAATTTTCTCTGATTTATTTGTTTCGCAATTTTCAATTTTACTTCCTGAAGAACAACAAATACCTCGTCATGATCATTTCAATAATGATTTTCTCTTTCCAATTCTTCCAATTCATCAAACAGTTACACAAGGTAGTTTCTCTTCGAAATCAATTCTACCAATGGAATTCTCTTTTCTTTTAGCTCCAAGTTCGTATGTACAAAATGATTTTTGTCTTCATCTCGAAAAACAACAAGAATTCGTTGCAAATCTTCCATTTATTTATCGTCTTTCATCTGGAAATACTTTGTCAATGAAACAATTGTTAAAAGCTTTACAAATAGTTGTATTAAGACATGATTCACTTCGTACAAGTATTTCGTTTGATAAAGAGAAAAACATGTTTATACAAAATATCATCAATTCAAATAATAATAATGAAAAGACAAATTTCTTTACATTTATTGAAAGTATTTATGAAACAGAAAAAGAACTTTCTCAACTAATCGATAATGAACAAAATAATTCGAAATTATTTCATCTTAATGAAGGTATTGTTTTTCGATTTCATCATATTTCTTCATCTAATTTTCATTCGTCTGATGATATTTTGATCTTTAATTTTCATCATGCCATATTTGATATCTTCTCTATGGAAATCTTTTTCCAAGATCTCATTCGAGCATATACAAAAAGTGACTTTTCGGAAGATATCGATCGACCATTGTTGCAATATATCGATTGTAAGTTACTTTTCTTTTTTCTTTCCAATGAAGATTTTTCAAATAAATTCAGATTCTGTTGCTGAACATCGAATGTCGATGAATGTTGCAAATACTTTTTGGCTTGAAACACTTCAAGATTATGATATGAATCGAACATTATCATTACCATTTGATCGATATTTGATCATTGGTGAACAACAGATCAAACATCATATTTCAGTCGTGTTTTTCGTTGTCATTTATTAACTTATTCATCTCATGATGATTATCTTCATGAAAATGATCTTCTTCTTTTTAATTTTCATCATCTATCAATGGATGGAATGTCAAATGTTATTTTTATTANAAAAGGAACTTATATGACATATATGAAAGGGAACAAGTTAGAATCACTCTGAAAAAAATTCGAAAATTTTTTGTCGGCGGTACGGTATTTCGCGAGACGGTATGCTCAGAACCTGCGCGGTAACGGTACGGTACGGTATCAGATAATTATCAGGCGAGACGGTACGGTACGGTATGGAACTAAGGAAGACGGTACGCGGTACGAGACGGTATTAAAATTTTGCAATACCGTCGGTCTCTGAATCCGATTATTATCTCAATGAATTACATGTTAAACTAAACTGAATTTTTATCGAGAATTATACTTTTAAATGAATTACTATAAGACTAAAATTTCTTTTAGAAAAGTAATCTTTCATATATTCTGACTGTTAAACATTTTTTTACAATTTTCTCATCATGAAATCTGACTTAGATGTTGATTAAAAAACAATATTCTGCAGAAACATTCATGACAATTGAATTCGCCTCTCAAAAGTACTTGAAAAACAAACCTGTGATTGAGATGTTAAAAAAAAGAAGACATGACAATTTGTGAGTAAAAACAAGCTTTTACTATGATCAAATAATTTTCACTAACTGAAATATATTTTCATGCATAACCAACACAACATTTTTTTTCTTTTTTTTACAATGCAAATACACATTATGGGAGTGAATTAACTGGAAGATTGGTAAAGTATATACTACATTTTCAGTTACTACTTTAGATTTCAATACAATTTCTATTGTATTTGGATTGACACAACATTTTATAGAATTCTTAAGAATATCACGAGAAATATCATATTTCTATTTCTCTTCTTCAAATCAAATCACTCTTAAAGTACTTTTAAGTACTTTTATAGTTCAATGTCGATCATCAAACAAATAATTGACAAATTAAAAGAACTTAATTTATTCGGTGACATAGAAACAAAACGCAATGGAGATAAACAAACATTGCGAAATCAAGTATTATCAACACGAGTATATATTATTCTCTTATTAACAATTCTCTGTGTTCTTTTCGTCTCAATAATTTTTATGGAAAGAACTACTTCGATAACAGTATCAAAGCCTTCATTAATTTTATTTGAACAATTACAAAGTAAATATCCAAATACATTATTATGTCCATGTCGACAAGTGGCTGTATCATATTCATCCTTTCTCTCAATCTCTGCAATATTTCATCAGGTAAAAAACTTCTCAAATCAATAACTATTCAAAACTAATTCAATTAAAAATATGAATATTTCGAAGTATTTTTCTTTTTATATTATCAGATATGTTCAAGTGATTTTATATCATTTCAATGGATCACATCATTGTTCGATTCAGAAACTTCGCGTATTACTCCATTGGATTTTCGTCTCACAGCTGCTATTCAATTTCGTTTACTCTCATTATTTTGCACTTCATCAATGTCAATGATAAATGAAATTCAAAATGATTTTATCAATGGAAAACTTGTGAGTGCCCATACTTTATTACATGTCTCTTTCGATACTCAAGTGAAATCCATTGTCGACAAATTCTATGCAACACTCTCTATGTCAATAACACCTAGCAAAGCGGCTGACATGATCATGCTCACCATTACTAATAGTGGTATTCAATCAGCTCTTCATAATAATGAATTTACATTGAGTATACCTGGTTCGAATCAATCTCAAACTGTTACCAACTTTTATCCTCGTTATACCAATGTTACATTCACAAATGTAAGTCTTTTAGAGAAATTTGATGAGAATATTGAAGTTTGAGAAGACATATTTCTTTTCATAGATTTCACAAGAAAACTTTGCCTTCTGTAATCCATTCAGCGTTGTAACATATCCAGCAGGTATTTATGCTTGGGGAAAAGATCAACGATCACTTGTCGAAATGATGAGTCCACAACCATCAGCTTTATTTCATATAAAAGGAATGTATGTCNAACAGATCAAACATCATATTTCAGTCGAATTCAATTTTGGAGAGAATTTATCAAAATGTCTTCGAAATTTTCTTTCAATCAATCAATTCTCAGCAGAACATTTCTTATTTTCATGTTATTTAATCTTTCTATTTAAATTAACTTCAGGTGAATGTGATTTATGTATTGGAATATATACACATGGTCGTTATCGAAACGAATTACAAACATTAATTGGTTTATTTGAGAAAATCATTCCATGTCGATGTCAAATTAATCCACATCAATCTTTCAATGAATTTATTCAACAAATTCGTTTAATTATGACAAATTCTTTGAAATATTCTTATTTTCCTTTTCAACGTCTTTTCGATCAAATTTTAAATCCTACTTTTCTTCAAACACGTTTTTATTTTTGGTCAAATTTAATAGAAAATAGATTTGATCAAATTTCTTCCGATGAAAATCATCTTCTCTCTCCAATATTTAATACAAATGAAATTATTTTACAAAATACGATTGGTCAATGTGATTTTTCATTAACAATTCTTTACAATTCAATAAATGAAGAATATTCTTGTCAAATAAATGCATGTCAAACATTATTTGGCATTTTTACAATAAACAAACTTCTTCAAAGATTTCAAATTTTACTTGAACAAATCTTTCAAACATCTGATCATCTTCCAAAATCGATCTTTCAATTCTCATTGATATTACCTGATGAAATGACACTTTTTACTCAATCATTACTAAATACACAAATAAAATTACCTTCTGTTCATTGTATTCAACATGAATTTGCTCAACGATCAAATGAACAATCACAAAAAGTAGCCGTAGAACTTGATGAACAATATTTAACATATGATGAACTTCTTTATTATTCTCAATATCTTGCTTTATATCTTTATCAAAAGTATGAAATTAAACCAGGAGAAATTCTTTGTCAATGTGTTCAACGAAGTTTATCATTGGTAAAAAAGAAGATTTCTTTTTTCTTCAAATAATTTATTTCACTTCATTTTTTCTCTCTAAAAGGTTATTGGTATTCTTTCAATTGAAATATTAGGTGCCATTTATTGTCCTTTATCACCTCGGAATCCTAAACAACGTTTACAAACATTGATTGAAGAAACCAACACTCGTCTTATACTTGTTCATTCATTAACACAAGAAATGTTTACTAATGATTATCCCACAGTTGTTATTGATAAAATTCTTTATAATGAAGAACAATTTTTTGATAATGATTATAATTCTCTTTCAACAAATGTGATTCCATCGACTAATATTGCCTATATTGTATTCACGAGTGGATCTACAGGGAAACCTAAAGCAGTATGTTTTGAAATATATTTGAAAGAATAGAAATAAGAAAATATTTGTATTTATTTTAGGGTCAATTATCACATCGAAATGTTATTGGAAATATTCATAGTATTTCTCATATTGATGTCAAAAATAAAAATGATCAAATTATTCAAATGGCTAATTGTTCATTCGATGCACATTTTCTAGAAATTGTTGGAACATTGATTTTAGGTGCAACATTGATTTTACTTCGTCCAAAAGGTAATCTTGATATTGATTATCTTTTACGAATTATCAAAGAAAAACAAGTCACAGTTATCTTTGCTGTGCCATCTTTACTTAATAATATCTTCAATTTTTCTTCTGAAAATAATGATACATTCAGCATAAAAACATTACGATCACTTTGTAGTGTTGGTCAGTGTGATTTCTTTTTTTGAAAAAGTACAATTTGTTAATGTATATCTTTCAGGTGAAGCACTCACGTCTAATTTGGCAATGAAATTTCTACATGTTCTCAATAATAATCAGAATTGTCGTCTATGGAATTTATATGGTCCATCAGAAATTTCATTTTGTTGTACATATTATCATGTTGATTGTACAATTATTCATAAAAATCATATTCCAATAGGTCGTTCTCTTCCTGATTATCAATGTTATATTGTGGATAAATATTTACAACCTGTTTTTGTTGATCAAGAAGGTGAATTACTTGTCAAAGGTATTGGCGTATTTTCAGGTTATCTTCATCGAAATGATTTAACACAAAAAGCATTATTAGACATAGAAGGAGAGAATGTTTATCGAACAGGTGATCTTGTTCGATTAGATCATTTAGGTCTTTTACATTATGTAGGTCGTCTAGATCATCAAATCAAATTACGTGGACAACGTATTGAATTAAATGAAATTGAAAATTTTCTTCTTCAATCTTTATCTCAAATCTCTGCTTGTATTGTTATTTGTTATGAAAATTCACATTTAATTGCCTATATACAAAGTTTGGATATAAATGAAAATCAATTACGTGATCATTGTCGTTCTCATTTACCAGCAAATATGGTTCCATCAATGTTTATTATATTGAAACAATTTCCATTGAATACAGTTGGAAAAGTCGATCGAAATCAACTTCCTAAACCTAATTTTTCAACTTTAACTTCAACAACAAATGAAATTGATTATGATAAACCACGAAATGATATGGAAAAACGTGTACATCAATTGTGGTGTGAAGTACTTCAACGTCATGATGAAAACATTTCAATTAATACAGTTTTTTTCAATATTGGTGGTCATTCTCTTCTTCTCATTCAACTTTATCATCGTTATAGATTATTATTTGAATTTGATAGTGAAAGATTACCTATCGCATCTTTTCTTCAATATGCAACAATTACTGAACATGCCAAATTACTTGAAACAACTAAATCCAACGATATACAATCATTAACACAACAAACATTTTCAATCAATGAAGGTAAATTTCATCGAACACGATTTTCCTTTGAAAAGAAATCATTTTTGATTTGGTTTTGTTTGTTTATTTGAATTAGATCCGTTGGTTCATCCAATGAGTGTTGCTCAAGCAGAAATCTTTTTCGATCATAAGAAATTACCTCTCGATTGCAAACATCATTTAATATTGAAATATGTTCTTTCTGTAGATCAATCATTATTATTTGATGAAACCAAATTTCGCAAATCTCTTAAAAGTTTAATGTTAAAACATGTTTTATTACGTTCTACTTTTCATCAAAATGATATGAATCTTATTCATCGTGAACATATTTTTGAACTTGATAGTAAACTTGATTTATCAATTATTTGGTTAACGGTATCTGATGAGAATGAATGGTCTAATGAATTTCGTCAAATATTACACAAACCATTCAAATTAGAACGTGATTTACCACTTCGTGTTTATTTGATTGCGAACATTGAAACCGATTGTTTCACTATTCTTCTCGTTGTACATCGTATTGCCGCTGATTATCATAGTTTAATGAAACTTATACACACACAATTGTGGCAATTATATGAGAAAGGTGATGATATGTCAGAAAATTTGGTCACTTCTCATATGTCATTCACTGAATATGTACAAAAAAGAAGTTTGAAAATGACAAATGAAAGTGAACAAACAACAAATGATATCAATTGGTGGAAAGAACATTATGCATCAGTCAATAGTGTTCCATTACAATTACCTCCACCTGAAGTACCTCTTTATGATTCTCAAAATATGTCTTCTATGAATATCATTGATGAACAACAAAATATAAATTTCATTCAATGTAAAACACTATTTATTCCAACTGATTTATGGAAAACTATGGATGAATTGTGTATCTCAACTAACAGCACATTCTTTAATATATCTTTTAGTATTCTCTGGTTAGTATTATCACAATATGCACAAGGCAACACATTCAGTATAAATATGATTTTCACAGAACGATCTTCAACTTCTACTCATACAATTGGGCCCTTTTCTCATGAATTTCCATTGTATCTTTCTACAAATGAAAGTACAACTAATGCTAAAAAGGAGACATTTTATCAATTCTTGTCTCGTACATCTCGTCTCTTAACAGAAGCGAAACAACATGAGACGGTCAAGCTTTGTGAAATATATGATCAAATACCACAAACACAATCTATAAGTACACAACCGATATCAGTCGCTATAAGTGACATAAGTACACTTGAATCAATATCATATATCAAGTCATCCGAATGTATTCTCTCTACTACATCAAGTCTAACAGTTTATGTCAATAAGACTCAATATACATTGGATTGGTGTTTCGATACAAATCTTATCGGACATCAACTAATCGAACAATTACATGAGAAATTTCTCAGACATCTACGAAACCTTGTTGATGATCCATATCTTCCACTACGTACTTGTAAAACACTTTCTGAAGATGAATTTGATCAAGTCATTAATAGATTTCAACGAACAACGTCAGAAAAGTACTATGAAATGACATTACATGGTATTTTTGAGCGAGCCGTCCAACAATGGCCAAATCATATTGCCATCGAACATCATCAGTCTTCTATAACATATATTGAATTAGATGAACATGCGAACAAGATTGCTGCTTATCTACAACATGAAAATGTCAAGTCAAACGATCTGATTTGTATACTTGGAAACAAATCTATTACAATAATCGCATGTATTCTCGGAATACTGAAAAGTGCTGCTGCTTATACGTATATCGACAGTAATCTTTCTTTCGATCAAATCAAACATATATTAGACAATAGTGATAGTCATCTAATGTTTATTGATACAGATGCTGACGAACGTTGGACTAATCAATTATCAACAAAACAACTACGATTAAAAACAATTGTTTTAACTGAAAATTTCCATGAAAGTCTATGGACAAACGAAGATATAAATAATGAATATCAACATATATACGATAGCGACAGTTTAGCCTATAGTTTGTGGACAACTGGAACTACTGGTCTTCCTAAATGGGTCAACGTTAACCATGGAAGCAGTGCTAATGCAATATTATGTTTACAAGATGAGATCGAATTAATGTCCGAAGACAAAATGCTTCAAACGTCAATGCTTAGTTTTGATCGCAGTGTAGCCCAACTCTTTCATCCATTTAGTCAAGGAGCGTGTGTCGTTCTCAATGACAACAATTCAACTTCTAATGATTCGCGTTGTATAATTCAACTTGTCAATGAACATGATGTGAGTGTTCTTGAGCTAAGTCCTAGTTTGCTTAATCGAATTGATCCAAATGATATTGTACCACCAGTACGTCTTCTATGTATAAGCGGAGAAATTTGTCCACATCACATAGCAGATCTCTGGTCTCGCCATGTATCCACGTATAATCTGTACGGATCAACGGAGACTTCAATCTATTCTCACATTGTACGCATGTTTCCAAATCAAAAACGAGTCATTATTGGTCGTCCAATACCGAATACATTTTCGTATATACTCAACGATCAAATGCAGCCTGTTCCTGTTGGAGTTGTTGGAACACTTTGGATTGGCGGATGTGCACCGGCTCGTGGATATCGACTTCCTCATCACTTGACTGAATATAAATTCCTGCCAAATCCTTTTCATCAACACAATAATGGGATCATTTACAATACCGAAGATCTGGCACGTTGGCAGAGTGATGGACAAATCGAATTCTTGGGCCGTCGCTATCTGGAATCCATCCATCATAATCACTATATAGAACTTGCCGAGATCAAGAGATGTATATTCAATTTAAGAAACATGGGTGACATACGGAATTCTCCTCAGGAAGTCGAAATTATACTTAATAATGATTCGAATGGAAGCATCAATGATAAACGTTTTCATTTTTATGCCTTCGTTACACCAGCATCGATTGATCTCGATGTGGTCAAGCAACATGTTAAGATGTCATTGCCACGATTTATGCGGCCAACAAGTTTCATGGCTCTTGAGCAGTTACCTTTATCGTCTAGTGGAAAAATTGATCGAAAAGAACTACTGAATCACATCTCCAAATCGAATTTGAAATCTACAAACAAACATCAGACATATAAGAAAGCGATTACAAATAGTCTTCAAAAATTATGGCTTTTCTTTCTACGAAAAGACTCAATAGATTACGATGAAACATTCTTCGATGCTGGCGGTCACTCGGCGTTATTTTTGCAGCTTATCGGAGCTATTCAAAATGAGTTCTTTGCTGGTCGTTTATCGAACTTTCGACCACGCACTGAAATATGTCTTTTGGCAACTACTATTCATGCTCAAGCAATTCTAGTCGAACAATATCTTAAAAAGGCACATGCCGTACAAGGATATCAGAAAGTATTCAATAATAAACGCAAACTCTCAGGATATACAAGAGCGCTTCGAAATCAAAGAAGCGCAATAACACGAATGAGGCGAGAATCGTCATTTACGATTGCAAGAAGAAAATCGTCTGTTCATTTTCGTCGAATTGCAATAGCTCGTTCACAAAGTTTGCCTCGAGTAAGTGTTTTGGATAATCTACAGTAGGAAATCAAAAGCATCTTGACGCTATTTTCGTTAATAGGATTATGACGAAAAAGATTGTGCAGTTATTGGTATGGCTGGTGTATTTCCAGGTTGTAATAGCATCGATGAATTCTGGTCAATGCTCAAAGAAGGTCGATCAGGAATATCTACTTTATCGGACGAAGAACTATGTAAATACGTACCGACTGAACAATTAACAAATCCGAATTATGTACGTCGTCAGGGTCGATTAACTTGTGGTGTCGATCTGTTTGACAATGTCTTTTTTAATATAACACCTCATGATGCTTCACATATGGATCCTCAACATCGGCTTCTACTCGAAGTTGTGTATAAAGCGTGTGAAGATGCTGCCGTGAATATTCATTCGTCTGATGCCATAATCGGTTGTTTCATTGCTGCCAGTGAAAGTAGTTATTATTCGTTTAACTTGAAACATGTCTATGATGCCAATGTTACTCAACCTTCTGCACAACGGCAAATACGTCTCAATAATTTATTAGGCGCTATGGCAACAAAAGTTGCATATTCTTTCGATTTTATCGGTGCTGCCATCAATGTACAGACGGCCTGTTCTTCAGGTCTTGTCGCATTGCAATTAGCTATGGATCATTTACGATTAGGGCGTTGCACAGTAGCCGTTGTTGGCACGAGTTGCATTCATTTGCCAACTAGTGGACATCTTTACGAACCAAATAGTATCTACAGTCCGACTGGTGTGTGTGCTCCGTTTGATGCAGCGGCGAATGGCATCGTATCTGGTGATGCAGTATGTGCTATTGTACTTAAACTCGCTGGACCAGCCGTTGCACAGCGTCACAAGATTCGTGCGTTTGTTAAAAGTTGTGCAGTTAACAACAATGGAAGTGCCAGTCAAACAACAAGTTTTGCTACACCTAGTGCACCAGCTCAGTCCGCATGCATTAGCGCAGCGCTGACTGAAGCTAATATAGATGTTGCCGATATCGCCTATGTCGAAGCACACGGCACGGGAACGGCAGTAGGTGATCCTATCGAAGTTGAAGGATTAGTACAAGCGTTCAATACGGATCAAACACAATATTGTACATTGGGTAGTGTGAAATCGAATGTCGGTCATACAGATACAGCTGCTGGTCTTGTTGGTTTGATCAAGACAGTACTTGTCTTAGAGAATCAATACATACCTCCAACATTACATTTTCAAGAGCCTAATTCAAATATCGACTTTACTACAACACCATTCGTCGTCCGATCAACTGGTACATCATTTGAATCCGAACGTCTCAAGCGTGGTCCTCTTCTAGCAGGTGTAACAAGTTTGGGTATGGGAGGAACAAACGCCCACGCCGTACTACAAGAGTATCGTCAGACTTCGTCATCTGTCAATTCGTTCGCTCCACAAGAAGATACGGTACATCAAATAACATTATCCGATAAAAGTCTTCAATCACTAAAACTTGATCTAAAGGAACTTATATCATGGTTAGAAAAGCAAAGCATTAGTCAAAATCCACCTACAGTCGCGAATATTTGTTATACGTTAAACAAGGGTCGACCTGCTTATGCGTATCGACTGGCCATGACGATTGATTCATCATCTCTTACAACACTTATTGACAAATTGAGTCAAGTATCCATCGATAGACTTCCACGAATTCAAAACATCGTTCGATTCGTTTTCATGTTACCAGGTCAACACGCATGTTCGCGAATATTAACACGTCAACTGTATTTGACAAGTGATGTGTTTAAAACTGTATATGATAATTGTGCGAATATTCTTCAAGAGCATGAATCAGATACTCCGAAAATGATCGATATCCTCTTAAGTGATGATGATGAATCGGCAGACAAAGAATGGCAAAATTGGATGGGCTTAACAACATTTATAGTAGAGTATGGATTGGCCATCTTTTTAGGAACTATCATAAAAATGCCACACACTTTTATTGGCCACAGTATTGGTGAATATGTTGTAGCTGTAATGACAGGTGTATTTACACTCGATGAAGCACTGAAATTTGTCTGTATGCGCAATTGTCTTCTAAACGAACAAGTAACGTTGGGTGTGAAAGGTGCATTGCTCGCAGTACGAATTTCATATGAAGATGCTGTCAAATACGTTAATGAGGATAACATATCAATTGCTGCAGTGAATGGACCATCACAATGTGTCTTTGCTGGTGATGTTGAAGCAATTAATCAATTGAAATCAACATTGAGTGCATTAAATTATAAGTTCAAACAACTTGAACATAGTTTTCCATTTCATAGTCATCTCATTGGTCCTTCTCTTCAAAATGAATTTCGACAAATATACAAGAATCTTGATATCGAACCGCGTTCACCGAAAACTCCTTTTGTCAGCTCAGTCACCGGTGAATGGTGTAACGAAGGTGATGTTATTGATATTGAATATTGGTGTCATCATATGCGAGAAACAGTTTCATGGCACAAAGCACTTCGAACTCTTGATCGATTGCATTCATCATCAAATGATAGTGATGAGAAAACAATATATCTTGAATGTGCACTTACCAATGTACTCACCAATGTCACTAAGACAAATCTTAATACAAATTCTTCTTTGATACTCCCATTAATACCACAAGATACAACGAATATTCAATTAGCAATAAAAACTATGCTTAGCACTTGTTGGAGTTATGGATTAACATGTAATGATTATGATGCAACTTACGCAGCATTTAATAGTTCATCGCGTGTTTATCAAAATGCATCATTTATCTCTATGCCAGGTCATATTTTTAATAAACAACATTATTGGATTGATCCACCAACATCAAACTTGACTGTAACGCGAATTAATAGTGAACAAAGAATAGTTGATTACAATAATAACGAACATTTGCATTCAAATGATGATTCATCGACATTTCATTCGTCTTCAATAGTTGATAAATTAATCGAAATATACATATCAGTTATAGGAGGTCAATCACTGGATAGTTCCAGTGACTTTTTTGCAATTGGTGGTGATAGTCATAGTGCTCTAATCTTAATCAATCGAATTAATCAACAGTTTAAAGTTCAATTATCTACTAAAGATATAATCGAAACGCCAATTCTTGATCAACTTGCAGCACGAATTGAACAAAGTCAACGAAATACAATTAAACAATCTTCTCCAACAATTCGTTCGATATACAATCATGATCGGATCATTATAATGAAACAAGGTACATCTTTAACCCAATCTCCAATTTTTCTTATTGCACCATCTGGTGGCACTTGCTTTATCTATCGAGACTTATGCAAACATTTAGATCCTTCGATTACTGTTCTTGCTTTAAATTATCCTGAAATTTCTCTCTTATCTTCACATGAATATAGATTTGATACTGAAGATAGATCAGTAGTGAATTTAGCATCCTATTACATCAATATTATGCGCAGTGCGCTACCTAATGCAGCATCCTACACGATTTTAGGCTCGTCATTCGGTGGTATGATAGGTTACGAAATCAGTCAACAATTGAGTTCATTATCAGAATCAAATGTAAACGTTAATCAGTTGTTTATGATTGATACCCCAACCAAAAATTCTTTACGCGTTGATTTTCAAACAATGTCTGATGAGAAAATCAAATCGTTGATTTTCTGGGCAATGTTCGGCATGAGATATAACTTTTCTTTGGAACAAGCAGAAGATATATGCGCCAAAGATAATGAACAAATGAAACAATTTTGCATTGATAAACAAATGTTGCCCGGTAATCTCGGTAATTTTGATTCAGAATTTACCGAACTTCGCCGTCATATGCACATATTCGAAGAGAATGTACGTGCTATACCAAATTATTCAGTTGAATCGATGAAAAGTCGCACTACAAATGTCACTTTTTTGCAAGTTAAGTCACCATTACCAACTGATCCTCTTAATCCACATCAAGATTGGTTACAAGCCATTCCTGACAATCAATTTCATCTGTTCTATATTGATGGTCATCATATCACTGTTAATCTAGAACCATACGTTCAACAAGTTGCACATCTTGTCAATAAAACCATCCTATCAACCGACAACTATCAATAAAACTGTTTTTTTTTCCTCCAAAATCAGTTTAGAATCTTCGTTAACCAAATTTCTTTTATTTAGCAATAAATATTTTTAATCCAACATAAAGAATACCGAATAATAATCATAGAATTCCATTGAAACAACTATTTTCGTATTTTTTAAAGATATATTTCGTATAATGAACACGAAAGATATTTCTCTTAAATCATATTCATAAGAAGACAATTATTTTACACCACATTATGTCGTTTAACTGATACAATCATTTGATAATTTATCGCAATCTTTTACTCATACTCATTGTCACTTGCGAAGTAGTGATCTTCCATTTATTTGATTACAAAACCCGACTAGACAAAAAGTTTTATTTTAGAATTTCTCTTGAAAAGGCCATCCATCATAGTGCTTCATATGTTTAGAATACTATCTGTACAGTGGACGTCTCTGTAGCTGATAAAGTCCAATCGAAAGACTTGATATATCGTAGCGTACAAGTCAATAATGATATTAATCTCATACTATTTCTTCTAATATCTTCGACTACAAATATCATTATATAAGATATAACAAATCCTTTTGTGTGAACTCCTAAACTATCATCTTCGTACACATCACAACCGAGAATAGCGTTCAACTCACTACTTTCTAGAAAAGATTTCAGAAACGATACAGAATTATATCTGTTTTGGAAATAGAGACGAAGAAGCCGAAGCTCAAGTGAATAAGAAAAAACTGACCTCAGACTTGACTTCTTTGATTTCGATTACTCTTTGATCAACCCTTATACTATTCATATTAATAATCCATGTCTAGTTGACAATTAGTTAAAACAAAGATCAGATCCGAGTTTTTCTACCTCGATTACATTTTGATCAAGCTTTATTTTGCACAATAATACAATAATGATACGAACATGAACAACAAACAAACAACAGGAAGGAAGGACAAACATCGACTGGTTTTTTGTGATATAAATTCTATATATAATCTGCTCTTAGTAGAATGAAGAAGAAAAAAAAAAAAATATTTCAAATGAAGAGAATTGATGATGAATTTTGAAGTCGTTTTAGCGACTAATAATTGAAATGTTACCAAGTAGCTCATTAATTTTGATTTTCGACATCACAGTTAGACCGTTGTAGTCGTTTTTACTTGTCGTTCTCGTTGTACACGAGCTACCGAATTTATTTCATCTGGTTGATTGTGTGCATTGCCGTGTATTTTGCGAGTATATTTCATTAATAATTGTTTGACTTCATTTCTAAATGCTTTCGATGTTAAAAGATAAACATAGAATGTTGTACTGTAATTTAAATATAATAAGAATGATTGTATCATAAAATTAATGAATGATTCAATTTGTTTTTGTTGAGTCGATTTACTTGAATTCATACTTGATGTTACTTGGTTATAGATTTGCATTATTGGAAATGAAAATGTACAGCAAACATAAATTAATACCTCTACTAATACAAGTCTCATTAATGAAGCATCTCGTTTATTCAAACGAGGATTATTATTATTGACGACGATGGGATTGTCACCTTGTGGCTGAACCTTTGTACGTAAATGACGTAGATTATTTGCTAACATACTGCCAAAGACAATCATCAGGAAAAGTGGTAGGAAACTGGTAAAAACTATGATATAAATGGCAAATATTTGTCCAAAAAGCCCATAAATACCACATTTTCCATTTTCAATACTTTCCCAAATGAGCAACTGAGCAGAAAGAATGGCCCAAACGATGACAACAATTGCTATTCCACGAAATGCAAATTTTCGTTGACTGTAAGCTCGAACGGCGACACTAGTGCTAGATAATGCATACCGATCAGCACATCTTAATACAAGGATATAACGAAAACATTGTGCACATGTTTGAATGATATAACCACGAGCGCGACAAAATACCAATGATTTGTTGACCAAATCATAATAATCAAGTGCAACTACCAATGGAATTATACTCCAATTGGCGCCAATTAAAGAAAATATTGATGAAGCGATTAAATAGATTGCACAAGTATTTGTTCGAAACTTTTTTTGCACATAAACCATGATCAAACCGAAATTTCCCATATTACCAAAACCAAGAATAATTGGTAAAACGTAACGATTCATGGCTGATTGAATGAGAACAAGTGTAGATGTTGTCGACATGATGTTGAACGCAATAATAAATTCCAAATGAACTTGTCAGATAAAAACCAGTTTCACGAGTTAAATGATAGAGAAGATTATCCATTACATTGATGACGTAGTCTATCACTCATTACAAACAGGAATTGAATGACTTTCGTAATTGATGTTAGATGAGGAAGTAGATCATATCGTGATTTCTTCTCAATGAATTGGATATTCTTTCCTAATCGCATTCAACTAATTTTCGTCGTTTATAAGAAGAAAAAACAACGAGTGGGTGAGAAATGAAGTATTTTTCACAATGTTAACTGATTTTCAAATGGCATCTAGAGCAGATATAAGAATTCGTTTTTCTTCTTTGATATACGAACACTCACCGTAACACATCATCTATATATGTGACTTCGATTTTACGTAGTAGAAAGCATTGTAAAAAACAGCGATTTGAAAACTATCAAATTTGTATAAGAGAATGTTTCTATATGAGTTTGTACGAATATTCTCTAGTGGTTGGAATTGATTGTTTAATGAGAACACTAAAAGGTTCTTTTTAGGTCTTTTGCAAATGTAATTTCATAGAATTCATTCGTTTTAGAATATACCAATAAGATTGTTTTTGTTACGAAAAATCACATGTTAGTTCAAATTCTATAGATTGAAGAAACGAGTCGAAAGTATAACAAAGAGTTCGACATATAAGAAAAAAAAAAGATCGAGGAATAAAATGAAAGAAGAGAAAAGGATGTGTCAGGTGCATCGAAAAAGAGTATCGAGTAGAATTGACGTATATCAAACATTAATATAATAAAGTCGTTAATGAGAATAAAATGCCTATCACTTTTCCAGATTCCCTTCTCAAATGAACTGATTAACTTCATTTGCATAAGTTGTTCATCTCAAATACACGCATTTTCGATGAATATACTCAATTAGAATTAAGAGAGATCATAGTCGTATTGAGTAAATAATTGAACACATTTCTCAATCAACAAAAGTACTGTATTTATTTAAATATTTAACTGAACAGGTTTTACTATTTCAGATTTCGTTACACAATTACGCGTCTCGTCGCCTAAGAAAATAACTATAGATGAAAGATGTGACATTACTTCCTTTTTCTTCCGTCGCTATCAATAGAAATAGGCAGAATAAACGGTCCTTATTAATTTGCTTTTTCTGTCTCGTATACGAACATTTCCCGGTGTTTATTCGTTCTTCCCTGGAAAGTTCATAATTAATGATATTCATTTCATTATATTTGTTACACGTATTTATTATTATTGAAATAGAACGACTAAATAGCGAAAGACACTAAACTCACCCATGACAATTTTCTACACTGACATTATAGAGAATAATTTGAGAACGATGAGGATTTCAAAAGAATCGAATTATTGTTATTTAAATATCATTCAATTCTATGTCAATAGTATAATATTGATCTCACATCAAATCATCGGTTGAATATAAAGAGAAGTTTCTATCGAACATCTTCATTTGCCTCGAGTAATTTTCAATGACTTAGCATATCATCTGTGTTCTATATCTACATTCAACAATTCATATACTTCGAAATTATCATTCAAAGCTGAATTTATTTACATGACTTTGAAAAACTTGATTGAAAAAAAATCTAGAATTTAATTAGATAAATAAGATTCACATAATTGTAGAGATTGTAAGTGAGCACAAGAATATATTTAATTAATAAAAATGTTCTTCTGATGTATTTTACATTTTGTGTTCTTTTCGATAAAAGTAAAATATTTAGATATTCCTAAGAAATATCTCGTCCAGTTTCAGCTTTGAAAAGATGATTTCAAATATCTACATCATTTTCTTTATTATAATTATGTGAAAATGAAGTAATGAAATGAAAATATCGTATTCACATCGCGCGGTATAAAATGATAAAATAGTGTTTTAAATTATGTCAATAATCCACTAAAAGTACGATTATTAGATGAAACGATGTAGAATTAAATGTTGTTTTGATTCGAGGTAAACAATAAATTCTATGAATTTATCCTGAAGAGTAGTGTGAAAATTGTTAATTTGATTTGAGTTTGAAACTTTGAAATCTTAATTATCAACATTCCAAATTCTAATGCTATTTTCATCGTAACAAATCTCATACCAACATTATTTGGTGCATCCATCACAGCTTCATCCGTGTACTCTTATTCGAAATATAATTTTATCAATCATCACATTCATATTTGGTCAAAATCTACTTTTTCAATATTTATTATAGAAATGAAAAAATGTTTTCGATCGATATTGACAATAGATAAATCCTTTCTAAAACAGTGTAGCAATTTTCAAGTTTATTCTTCTGATCTACTTTCTTGTTTTCTCTTTTTAATTTGTAAAAAGACGAATATAGAACATTTATAATTGATAGAACGAGTGCAGCTTGTGATGTTCCTAAGACAGATGATGTATTCGTAGATCGTTGATCAAGTATTGTCAACCGTTGCAACAGTTCTGTGCATAGTTTCATTTCTCATATTGATCGTAAAGAGAACGTTGATAAGACAATGGATGACAATCAACATTTTCAAATTTTAAACAAATGTATAAAAAAAACAGTTTGTTTTTAGAATTTCCTTGACATAGATATTGTAATCAGATAAACAATCTTCTTTCCTATTATCATTCAAAGTAATATTTCCGTAATCATAGGAATGGATGTCATCATAATCAAGTCAATTATCGATGTTCGAAACAGTTTCAGCTAAATAAATTGTCAAATCATTAGTTATTCTAATTTTTGTAAACTGTTCAGTTTGTTCCAATTACTGGATTGATTTTAATCGAGATATGAATGAGTCACCGTACAGATATCTATTGTTAACTTTAAAGAATATCACCATAAAGACAGGATTCTTTTCTCGTGTCCATTTTTCATCAACAACATTCTGATAACCAAAGAAGAACACAATTATGACATTTTCGTCTAGATGTTTATTCAAACTGTATTGATTGATATAAGAGAAATTTCTTCAAATTCGGTGGACAATCATTAGTTCTTGTATAAAAGTTTTCTAAGTAGAAAAGAATAATTCGATATTCCTTTTATCGTTTTGATATTCTTGATCGAAAAAATCTTATTGAATCAATCGAATATGTTTGGAACCAATACGAATAAATCCATAAAATTGAGTATTTTCTTTGATTATACCGCTACATGAACTATCATTAACATTTTTTAATCCAATTGAAAAACGCACAATTTCGTTCCGTACAACTTGTAATTACATTCATTTCGACATCTATTTCAACTGTTTGATTGATTTTTTTCTCTCACATATGTCAGATTAATCTTTGATAATTCAGGAATTTTATCCGATTGAATAAAGAATGTTTCATATTTTCAGTTGCATATCACAATCTTCTTTCGTAGTCGATCCACCTAAATATAATTCGAATGATAAAATGTGGATTTTTGAGCATTGTGTTATTCAATTTCTTGCTCCTTAAATTCAACAGAGATCCATTAATTTTGAACCATCATATGTAATTATTCGAATCAAAACCTGGATAGATTTCTATACTTCTAAGGATTCAACACTGTTTATTTCAATTCCATCGAAGATAATCAATAAGAATAAATAAATCTTGAAGATAATGGACGAATCTTACAGAATAGATTTATAAATTAACAATCGTTTGTCGAATTTCGTCCATCAATGAAGACAATTTCCTATTTTTAAATAAATGATATTGATATAAAAGTTAACATTCGTCTAAAGTTCTTCTTATCAATTTATGAATAGTTTGTTTTGTATCTCTTTATGCCAATTCAAACATGGACACACCGAATCACTCGATTTCACTTTGAAACTTTCAGATTATTATCTGAGCGAATTACATATTAAACTAAATTGAATTTCTCTCTCGCGAATTATCCTTTTCAATGAATTATTAAGACCAAAATTTCTTTTATAATAAGTAGAGCAATGTTTGATATATTCTGACTGTTAAACCTTTTTTACAATTTTCTCATCTTCAAACCTGACTTAGATGTTGATTAAAAGAACAATACTCTGCAGAAACTTTCATGACGATTGAATTCGCCTCTGAAAAGCACTTGAAAAACAAAACTGTGATCGAGATGTTAAAAAAAGGAAGACATGACAATTTGTGAGTAAAAACAAGCTTTTACTATGATCAAATCATTTTCACTAACAGAAATAGATTTTCATGCATAACCGACACAACACTTTTTTTTCTTTTTTTTAACAAAATGCAAAGACACATTATGGAAGTGAATTAACTGCGTAAGATTGGTAAAGTATATAATAAATTTTCAGTTACTACTTTAGATTTCAATAGAATTTTTCTTGTATTTGGATTGACACAGAATTTGATAAAATTCTTGAGAAAATCACGTATTTTACATTTCTATTTCTCTTCTTAAAACAAAATCACTCTTAAAGTGCTTCAACTACTTTAATAGTCCAATGTCGATCATCAAACAAATAATTGTCAAATTAAAACAAGTTAATTTATTCGGTGACATAGAAACAATACGTAATGGAGATAAACAAGCATTGCGAAATGAAGTATTGTCAACACGAGTTTATATTATTCTCTTATTAACAATTCTCTGTGTTCTTTTCGTCTCAATAATTTTTCTGGAAAGAACTACTTCGATAACAGAATCAAAGCCTTCATTAATTTTATTTGAACAATTACAAAGTAAATATCCAGATACATTATTATGTCCCTGTCGACAAGTGGCTGTATCATATTCATCCTTTCTCTCCATCTCTGCAATATTTCATCAGGTAAATAACTTCTCAAATCAGTAACTATTCAAAACGAATTGAATTCAAAATATAAATATTTCGAAGTATTTTCCTTTTTATATTATCAGATATGTTCAAGTGATTTTATATCATTTCAATGGATCGCATCATTGTTCGATTCCGAAACTTCGCGTATTACTCCATTGGATTTTCGTCTCACAGCTGCTGTTCAATTTCGTTTACTCTCATTATTTTGTACTTCATCAATGTCAATGATAAATGAAATTCAAAACGATTTTCTCAATGGAAAACTTGTGAGCGCCCATACTTTATTACACGCCTCTTTCGATACTCAAGTGAAATCCATTGTGGACAAATTCTATGCAACACTCTTTATGTCAATAACACCCAGCAAAGCGGCTGACATGATCATGCTCACCATTACTAATAGTGGTATTCAATCAGCTCTTCATAATAATGAATTTACATTGAGTATACCCGGTTCGAATCAATTTCAAACTGTTACCAACTTTTATCCTCGTTATGCCAATGCTACATTCACAAATGTAAAGTCTTTTAGAGAAATTTGATGAGAATATTGAAGTTTGAGAAGACATATTTCTTTTCATAGATTTCACAAGAAAACTTTGCCTTCTGTAATCCATTCAGCGTTGTAACATATCCAGCAGGTATTTATGCTTGGGGAAAAGATCAACGATCACTTGTCGAAATGATGAGTCCACAACCATCAGCTTTATTTCATATAAAAGGAATGTATGTCGGATGTGAACCGTTCGATTCGATCGAAGAAAGTACACTCGAATGTTTTTTTGATCCTGTCTGTGTTAATCNGATTTCACAAGAAAACTTTGCCTTCTGTAATCCATTCAGCGTTGTAACATATCCAGCAGGTATTTATGCTTGGGGAAAAGATCAACGATCACTTGTCGAAATGATGAGTCCACAACCATCAGCTTTATTTCATATAAAAGGAATGTATGTCGGATGTGAACCGTTCGATTCGATCGAAGAAAGTACACTCGAATGTTTTTTTGATCCTGTCTGTGTTAATCTCACCACTCAATTGATTTCGAATCTGCCAATCAATACTTGGCCTAAACCTCTGAATAGCTCAATACCATCACGTTTTCTGCAAAACGACAAAGTTTCTCTTATCTTTGACAATTTAATGGTTGAGCAATGGATTACTATGAAAAATTTCTCAAATTATTACATTGCTTGTGAACCACTTCAATGTACTTATACGTTCACACAGCGTAATGAATTTATCTATGTGATTACTTTGTTAATCGGTTTGTACGGTGGTCTCACAGTCGTTCTGCGCATTTTAGCACCATTTATCATTAAACTTGGTCATATTGTCTACACATACTTCACGAAAAGAAGTGATCCACAGCCTCGACCTCACTCTCAACAAATACAATCAGGTATTGATACAAGAAAAAAACACTATACTCTATTCGTGGTGAGACTTTGTACGATTATTTGTAATCTGTAGAAAAATGGTATACTCGCATCATTGAAAAACTAATTCTTATCAAAACGAATATTGTTTCCCTGAATGTATTCAAGGTAAAAAGTCATTGTCTAATAACTTTGACTATAAGAAAAAACATTTGTTTTATTTGAGGATGACTTAAGTGATCAACAGATTGGAATTCATGCAACACGTGTTCATCTGACTCTGGTAGTCATCAGTGTGATGGTTCTCGCATTTTACTCATCTCTGACAGTTCATACTCGCACAGTAACAGTTTTGTCACCATCGTCGACAACTTTCGAAGGTCTTTACAACAATTATCCTGTAACACTTTCCTGTCCATGTTCACAAGTATCTATACCTAATAGTGAAATGATCACTATATCGACTCCTCGTTATCATCAGGTACGAAATAGAAAGTCTTTCTGAAAAACTTACTATTCATTGGCAATATTTCGTGTATAAAGTAACTAATTACAACGATCATTTCCAATAGAGGTATTGATTTGTTAATATGAGAGAAGTTGAGAAGTTTCAAGATAAAACATTTCGTTTTATCCGTGAATTTAATTGATTTTTCTACTTATTAGATTTGCACGAGTATGTTCTTGGAACCAGTTTGGTTCGATGGTTATTTTACGATAAGATTTGTCAATAGTTCAGAAACTTATTCTTTACCACTAACTGATATGCGAATGAATGGAATTTACTCGTTTGGCAATTATCTTACTATTTGTCAAATTGCAAATGATACGATCACCAAAGCGACAGCTGTGTTTATCAAAGATGAATTTGTTACCGCTCAAGCACTTTCACGTATGTCAATTATGCAGTTCAAGAATTCTATTATGATTATTTCTTGTAGGATTGGAGTTCAAAGCACGACTAGAACCAGTTATTTCCACGTTTAAAGTGCGTACCACGCAGATTTTTGCCATGCTGACAGCATTGATGCGCATTTTTCTTGCCGGAACTGGAGTGGAGAGTGGAATGACGTATCAATCATTAGTGATAAACGGTACATCATCGATTCGTCGTTATTCTCCAGCACCTGCCAGCTTGGATGCATGCGCTTGCAGTGTGTCACTCGACTGTCCAGGACCCGCCGGTTATTTTTTCTGTGTAAAAGGAAATAATTGTACAGCGGGTACCAGTGTTTGGGCCACACCTGGTATTCGTAGTTCATGTCTCAGAATAGGTGGAATGCTTAATACTGATTTACGTTGCTTTTTCGATCAAACATGTCTCGACACAGTTCGCTCTTTGTACAATGTTGATATGCCGACACGACTTCCATTATCAGCTGCTACGCTGGCTGTTCCCGTTCTTAACAGTTCGATTTCATCACGATTCTCACCAAATGATTCCTTTGGTACAATATTAGATCAACTCATGGTGGATGAGTGGATCATAGAGGGTAACTTTGAAGGCTACTACAAAATCTGTGCACCGCCTGCCTGTACATATACTTATTCTCAACGGTTAGACGTTTTCTACGTAGCTGCAACCATTACTGGTCTTATCGGTGGTCTCATCGTCATCTTTCGTCTCATTATTCCTATGGCTGCACGAATTGTACACTGGCTATTAGCTTATTGCCGCAAACGTCATATTAATAATATTGAAGAACAATCAGGTAATAAGGGTCACGATGAAAGATATACTTATGTAATTCTTTTCATCATTCAGATCAACAACATCCAATAGGTCGTGCACCGATTAATATCAAACAGAAACTGATTATGATGAATCTATTTAAAAAAGAAAGTTCTCTTAGTCAAATAGAGAATGTGAATCAAGTGGCCATCGTAGCATCTCGACTCTATCTCATGTTACTCATTAGCAGTGTGCTCATACTTCTTCTCTTTGATAGTTTAAGAGAAACAACCGTGTCTGTAACAGTAGAATCACCTTCACTCATTACTTTCGAACAACTGTACAATGAATATGCAACGACTATTTCATGTCCATGTCAACAAATGGCAATACCGTATGGTGCCTTTCTTACGGTTTCACCTTCGTTTCACCAGGTGAGCTATATAGCTAAAGCGTGCTAAACATTCACTATGAGAACTCCTTGCTTTTCATCTTCAGTCATCAATTTAGCACACATTACAATCAAAAGTTTCTTCAATATGATTTAGATATGCACTAGCGATTTTGTCAAATCTTTATGGACAACATCACTGTACGGCTATGGTAGTACAATCAATAGCTATGCACAACTTGATCGACCTCTTCTTAGTAGACAGCACCAACTAATGGGCTGGCTTTGTTCAGAAATCAAAATAATTGTTGATCATGCTATATCAAACTTTAATCAAACAATGCTGGTAACTTCTACAGCAGTGTCTCGAGCATCATTTGCATCGCAAACAGTCGAAATAATCAGACAACTGACTGAGCAAACACCAATGAATTTTCGACGTTTGTTCAATTTAATTATCGAGGTGTCAACAGGAGCGGTAATTCCATCGTTTTTTAATACGGATTGGTCATTGGAATATGGAAATCTTTCTAACGATTATTTGTTACGCAGTGTGCCACGAAAATTCACCAACAGCACCTGTAATTGTGTTGTTTCCAATGCTTGTAATGAATCTATGCGAATTGGTCCATCTGACCTTATTTTGCCTGGTCTTGTTGTCGGTTGTTGGCCTATCCATGGTTTACGCATGTCAACATTAGAATGCTTCTTTTCACAAAGTTGCGTTAACACGATTATTAATTACCTCGACTATTATACACAAATGGACGGATCACCACCTGTCAATTTCACTTTACCCAATGAACCTTCTTTAGTTATGAATCCATTAAATAAGTCAATATCTTCACATTTTGCTCCTAATACCACAATTGGTACATTAATTGACGAAATTTTCATAGAGCAGTGGACTAGTTCAAGTATCTACGACAATTACTATACTGCCTGTAGGCCAAGTATATGTCGGTACGAATACGTTCAAAAAAATAATGCATTATATGTGATCACATCATTACTTTCTGTCTATGGTGGACTTACTGTTGGTTTAAAATTTCTTGTTTGGAATGGCATAGTACTTTATCGATTCATAAAAAACCATATACAAACTCGTCGTACAACTGTTCAACCATGGATAATTCAGGATTGAACTGAAAGACGATGAGAAATATATACTATCACTTATTTGAAATCATATTTTATCATTTGATTTTGCTATTGTTATACCAATGCTTTTACAAACCTAATTAAATCAAATTCTCTTTCTCTTAAAGAAGATTTTTTTGCTTGTATGTCTGCACTATCAATGAACAGATTTGAAGAATATTCCCTTTTCTGAAAGAAAGGGTTATACAGCGGTTAAATACTGGGCTCAAAATGCTTAAAGTTTGTCTGTCTGTCATTCTGTCTGTCCAAGCCAATCAGATTGCAGCATTCAATAAATNGATTTCACAAGAAAACTTTGCCTTCTGTAATCCATTCAGCGTTGTAACATATCCAGCAGGTATTTATGCTTGGGGAAAAGATCAACGATCACTTGTCGAAATGATGAGTCCACAACCATCAGCTTTATTTCATATAAAAGGAATGTATGTCGGATGTGAACCGTTCGATTCGATCGAAGAAAGTACACTCGAATGTTTTTTTGATCCTGTCTGTGTTAATCGCACCACTCAATTGATTTCGAATCTGCCAATCAATACTTGGCCTAAACCTCTGAATAGCTCAATGCCATCACGTTTTCTGCAAAATGACAAAATTTCTCTTATCTTTGACAATTTAATGGTTGAGCAATGGATTATTATGAAAAATTTCTCAAATTATTACATTGCTTGTGAACCACTTCAATGTACTTATACATTCACACAGCGTAATGAGTTTATCTATGTGATTACTTTGTTGATCGGTTTGTATGGTGGTCTCACAGTCGTTCTGCGCATTTTAGCACCATTTATCATTAAACTTGGTCAAATTCTCTATGCATACTTCACGAAAAGAAGTGATCTTCAGCCGCGATCTCATTCGCAACAAATACAATCAGGTAGTGACACAAAGAAAAACACTATGCTCTATTCGTGCCGAGACTTTGTACGATTATTTGTAATCTGTAGAAAAATGGTATACTCGCATCATTGAAAAAGTAATTCTTATCAAAACGAATATTGTTTCCCTGAACGTATTCAAGGTAAGTTATTGTCTAATAACTTTGACTAAGAAAAAACACTTGTTTTATTTTGAGGATGACTTAAGTGATCAACAGATTGGAATTCATGCAACACGTGCTCATCTGGCTCTGGTAGTCACCAGTGTGATGGTTCTCGCATTTTACTCATCCCTGACAGTTCATACTCGCACAGTAACAGTTGTGTCACCATCGTCGACAACTTTCGAAGGTCTTTACAAAAATTATCCTGTAACACTTTCCTGTCCATGTTCACAAGTATCTATACCTAATAGCGAAATGATAACTATATCGACTCCTCGTTATCATCAGGTACGAAATAGAAAGTCTGTATGAAAAACTTACTATTCATTGGCGATATTTCGTGTGTAAAGTAACTAATTACAACGAGCATTTCCAATAGAAGTGTTGATTTATTAATATGAGAGAAGTTGAAAAGCTTCAATAAAAACATTTCGTTTTATCCGTGAATTTAATCGATTTTTCTAATTATTAGATTTGCACGAGTATGTTCTTGGAACCAGTTTGGTTCGATGGTTATTTTACGATAAGATTTGCTAATAGTTCAGAAACTTATTCTTTACCACTAACTGATATGCGAATGAATGGAATTTACTCGTTTGGCAATTATCTTACTATTTGTCAAATTGCAAATGATACGATCACCAAAGCGACAGCTGTGTTTATCAAAGATGAATTTGTCACCGCTCAAGCACTTTCACGTATGTCAATTATGCAGTTCAAGAATTCTACTTTGATTATTTCTTGTAGGATTGGAGTTCAAAGCACGACTAGAACCAGTTATTTCCACGTTTAAAGCGCGTACCACGCAGATTTTTGCCATGCTGACAGCATTGATGCGCATTTTTCTTGCCGGAACTGGAGTGGAGAGTGGAATGACGTATCAATCATTAATGATAAACGGTACATCATCGATTCGTCGTTATTCTCCGGCACCTGCCAGCTTGGGTACATGCGCTTGCAGTGTGTCACTCGACTGTCCAGGACCCGCCGGTTATTTTTTCTGTGTAAAAGGAAATAACTGTACGGCGAACACCAGTGTTTGGGCCACACCTGGTATTCGTAGCTCATGTCTCAGAATAGGTGGAATGCTTAATACTGATTTACGCTGCTTTTTCGATCAAACGTGTCTCGACACAGTTCGCTCTTTGTACAATGTTGACATGCCGACACGACTTCCATTATCAGCTGCTACGCTGGCTGTTCCCGTTCTTAACAGTTCGATTTCATCACGGTTCTCACCAAATGATTCCTTTGGTACAATATTAGATCAACTCATGGTAGACGAGTGGATCATAGAGGGCAACTTTGAAGGCTACTACAAAATCTGTGCACCGCCTGCCTGTACATATACTTATTCTCAACGATTAGACGTTTTCTACGTAGTTGCAACCATTACTGGTCTTATCGGTGGTCTCATCGTCATCTTTCGTCTCATTATTCCTATGGCTGCACGAATTGTACACTGGCTGTTAGCTTATTGTCGCAATCGTCATGTTAACAATATTGAAGAACAATCAGGTAATAAGAGTCAAGATGAGAGACATACTTATGTAGTTCTTTTCATCATCTAGATCAAGAGCATCCAACAGGTCATACACCGATTAATATCAAACAGAAACTGATTATGATGAATCTATTCAAGAAAGAAAGTTCTCTTAGTCAAATCGAGAATGCGAATGGACTGGCCATCGTAGCAACTCGACTCTATCTCATGTTACTCATTAGCAGTGTGCTCATACTTCTTCTCTTTAATAGTTTAAGAGAAACAGCCGTGTCTGTAACAGTAGAATCACCTTCACTCATTACTTTCGAACAACTGTACAATGAATATGCAACGACTATTTCATGTCCATGTCAACAAATGGCAATACCGTATGGTGCCTTTCTTACAGTTTCACCTTCGTTCCATCAGGTGAGCTATATAGCTAAACCGCGCTAAACATTTGAAAAGTTTCTTCTATATGATTTAGATATGCACTAGCGATTTTACTCAAACTTTATGGACAACATCACTATACGGCTATGGCAGCACAATCAATAGCTATGCACAACTTGATCGACCTCTTCTCAGTAGACAACACCAACTAATGGGCTGGCTTTGTTCAGAAATCAGAATAATTGTTGACCATGCTATATCAAACTTTAATCAAACAATGCTGGTGACTTCTACAGCTGTGTCTCGAGCGTCTTTTGCATCGCAAACAATCGAAATCATCCGACAACTGACTGAACAAACACCAATGAATTTTCGACGTTTGTTCAATTTAATTGTCGAGGTATCAACAGGAGCGGTAATTCCATCGTTTTTTAATACGGATTGGTCATTGGAATATGGAAATTTTTCTAATGATTATTTGTTACGCAGTGTGCCACGAAAATTCACCAACAGTACCTGTAATTGTGTTGTTTCCAATGCTTGTAATGAATCTATGCGAATTGGTCCATTTGATCTTGTTTTGCCTGGTCTTGTTGTCGGTTGTTGGCCTATCCATGGTTTACGTATGTCAACATTAGAATGCTTCTTTTCACAAAGTTGCGTTAACACAATTATTAATTACCTCGATTACTATACACAGATGGACGGATCACCACCTATCAATTTCACTTTACCCAATGAACCTTCTTTAGTTATGAATCCATTAAATAAGTCAATATCTTCACGTTTTGCTCCGAATGCCACAATTGGTACATTAATTGACGAAATTTTCATAGAGCAATGGACTAGTTCAAGTACCTACGACAATTACTATACTGCCTGTAGGCCAAGTATATGTCGGTACGAATACGTTCAGAAAAATAATGCATTATATGTGATCACATCATTACTTTCTGTCTATGGTGGACTTACTGTTGGTTTAAAATTTCTTGTTTGGAATAGCATAGTACTTTATCGATTCATAAAAAATCATATACAAACTCGTCGTATGACTGTTCAACCATGGATCATTCAGAATTGAACTGAAAGACAATGAGAAATATATTCTATCATTTGATTTTGCTATCGTTGTACCAATGCTTTCACAAACCTAATTAAATCAAATTCTCTTTCTCTTAAAGAAGATCTTTTGCTTGTATGTCTGCACCACCAATGGACAGGATTTGAAGAATATTCAGTAGTACATTCATCGAAAAGCTTCTAACGATTAATCACCGATTATTTCGATCCGATCGAAGTTGATCAATAAGAATAAACAAAATCTCGAAGAACATCAACTATAATCTTACAAAGTGGATTTATAATCCGACAAATGTTTATTGAATATATTTCCAATGATTCTATTCATCGATAAAGATAATGTATTAGTTTTAAATAAATAATAATCATAGAAGTTAACTTTCGTTTAAAGCTCTTCTTATCGATTACTTTTGACTTGTGAATGTTCTTTTTACAATGTTTCGCCTTTCTCTCTGATTTTATTGCCTTACATGTCAGTAGCTAATCTCTACTATCGTTCGTGAGACATGGACACTGCAAGCCAGCTAAAAAATCATCCGATTTGATTTTGGCATTTTCATATTAGAACTGAATCGATTTACATCCTACGTTAGTGAATTGTTGTGAAACTAATTTTATAATTAAAATCGGTAATTCTGCTTTATTTATTCTCAAGACGATAATTCTTTTTTATCCCAAAAATTAGGCTCATCTTTTAAAATCCGAATTGAGTCACCAACACGAATAATTCCTGAAATATTATTTTTCTCATCTGTTGGTGCTAAATCAATACCAAATATTGCTTTATCACGATATATATCGGGTTTAAGACGATAGCTAAATAAAAAAAAATTTTATTCATACAAAATATACAATTTCTACCTTCGTAATGTCTTCCAAGGTTCTTGATCAGGATCTTTAATACCCGTTTTAGGATCAATTGTTGGTAATAAACATCTTCAAAATGAAAAAATCTTTTCTTTTTCCAAGAAAATAATTATTAATACGACTGACCTTGGACAAGCTGCAATCCAAGTTAATTTAACTTGACCAATTTCGATTTCCCTCCAATAATCCTAGAAAAAGAAATAATATTACTTTACAATCAATAATCTTTTTCCTACTTCGTCATAAGGTTTTTCAATATTTCCAACAATAATATTTGGTCGAAAATTATAAACTTGAATTTTTTTCTTTAACCTTGTATTCAAATCTTCAACTGATTTTAATGAGCATAAATGTATTGGACACATATCATGATAAACAATTGTATCATTGTCACGAGCAATATTAGGTGCTTCACAATCTTTCGTTAAACGACCTTGAAACTTTTCATTGTCAAATACAACTAAATCAATTTCATCTTCTGTATCAAGAAATGTTCGTAGCCATTGCGAAACGTTATTATCATAACGTAGACCAAAAATAGGTTGATCCCAACAGCTATAATAAATATGGAGTTTTTTTTTCTAGGAAAGTTAAAATATATTTACTAGCATTGCATGACCTCTTTTGGTAATGAATGGATTGGAATATAGAGATCAGTCATATCTGGAGCCTGAAGGCAAAGACTATCATTAATAATTGAAGTTTGAATTAAAGCCATACGAGGTAATACTCGTTGGGATAGATGTCGACCGTTTTTCACTACCATCCATCGTCTATCAAATACTTNAGTGTGTACATCCAATCCTGCACATTTTTTTACTCGTTATAATTTTCCGATCATGTATTTATGTCTGATTGTCGCTACGAACAATCACGCGATTAACCGTTCGGTTTTTACCTTCGTTAACTTTTTTTGTTGTAGTTTGTTCTCGTTCACATTATCACTATTGTCTCTGAAAAAAACTTATCTGTATATTAGCTTTTCGCCTCATCTATTCGTTGGAACTCATTAATACTTTTCCACTTGTATAGACATGTTCATATGGTTCATTCTTATTTATTTCGGAAAAATATTGAAAACGGACAAAACCGAGACTATAAGAGGGAGATATGGAGATGAGACTAAGGAACGTCCTTTTACCGTGAATGTTTATTATCAATATTTATTTTGTCGACATTTGTAAACTTTTCATTTCAAATAATATCGATTTTCGTTAGTTTTCTGTTTTGATGCTATTGGCACATGTCAAATCACCTTTGATGAGGTATAATAAAAGAAAAAAAATCTTCCCAGTTTTGCTCATTTTGCATATTGTATTATTATCTTGATTGATTACACTTCTATCTCAAGCCCATTTTTAAAATCAAACGTCCGATTAAAGCTAGATAAATTCTCTCATACTAAGAATGATGCATTCTTCTTTCAGAAAAGGGCCAGCGAATCCAAAGGATGAGCGTTACTTGTTCAGTAGTACGTTCATCAAAAAGATCGATACTAGTCGATTCTAATTCAATTTTATTCTCATGAATTGGATTTATTTCTATGAATTTTTAACTATCCCAACAAAAACTTGAATAGATATCCACTTGTAACGATCAATTACCGTTTATTTCGATCCGATCAAAGGTGATCAATAAGAATAAACAAATCTCGAAGAACATCAGCTATAATCTTACAAGGTAGATTTATAATCCAACACATGTTTATCGAAAATATTTCAAGTGATTCTATTCATCGATAAAGATAATGTATTAGTTTTAAATAAATAATAATCATAGAAGTTAACTTTCGTCTAAAGCTCTTCTTATCAATTACTTTGACTTGTGAATGTTTTTTTTTACAATGTTTCACCTTTCTCTCTGATTTTATTGCCTTACATGTCAGTAATTAAGCAAAATATTTGTAGTAGCTAATCTGTACTATCGTTCGTGAGACATGGACACTGCAAGTCAGCTCAAAAATCATCCGATTTGATTTTGACATTTTCATATTAGAACTGAATCGATTTACATCCTACGTTAATTAATTACTTTGAAGCTAATTTTATAATTAAAATCGGTAAATCTGCTTTATTTATTCTCAAGATGATAATTCTTTTTTATCCCAAAAATGAGGTTCATCTTTTAAAATTCGAATTGCATCACCAACACGAACAATTCCTGAAATATTATTTTTCTCATCTGTTGGTGCTAAATCAATACCAAATAATGCTTTATCACGATATATATCGGGTTTAAGACGATAACTAAATTTTAAAAAGAAATTTTTATTCATACAAAATATACAATTTCTACCTTCGTAATGTGTTCCAAGGTTCTTGATCAGGGTCTTTAATACCCGTCTTAGGATCAACTGTTGGTAATAAACATCTTCAAAATGAAATCTTTTCTTTTTCTAAGAAAATAATTTTTAATACAACTGACCTTGGACAAGCTGCAATCCAAGTTAATTTAACTTGACCAATTTCAATTTCCCTCCAATAGTCCTAGAAAAATAAATAATATTACTTTATAATCAATAATCTTTTTCCTACTTCATCATAAGGTTTTTCAATATTTCCAACAATAATATTTGGTCGAAAATTATAAACTTGAACTTTTTTCTTTAACCTTGTATTCAAATCGTCAATTGATTTTAACGAGCATAAATGTATTGGACACATATCATGATAAACAATTGTATCATTGTCCCGAGCGATATTAGGTGCTTCACAATCTTTCGTTAAACGACCTTGAAACTTTTCATTGTCAAATACAACTAAATCAATTTCATCTTCTGTATCAAGAAATGTTCTTAGCCATTGCGAAACGTTATTATCATAACGTAGACCAAAAATAGGTTGATCCCAACAACTACAATAAATATGGATTTTTCTTCTAGGAAAGTTAAAATATACTTACTAGCATTGAATGACTTCTTTTGGTAGTGAATGAATTGGAATATGGAGATCGATCATATCGGGAGCCTGAAGACAAAGACTATCATCGATAATTGAAGTTTGAATTAAAGCCATACGAGGTAATACTCGTTGGGATAGATGTCGACCGTTTTTCACTACCATCCATCGTCTATCAAATACTTGAGGGTTTGATGGATATGCTAAACCATATTTTGTTACAAGTGCTTCTTGTACTTTAATACCAGCACATGATTTCACTGGATAAATAATCAATTCTTTTATATTCATAATTCTTATAGGCGAAAGTGTGTTTTTATTTCTTATCAAAGTTGCTGGTCGCGATAAGATACATTCACTCGACGCTAAATCGCCAATACGTTTAAATGCATTCGACCTTCTCTATGTAGAAAAACAAGTGAAAGATGGCGTTGGTTTTCAACTTATAATCTGATACATATATGAACATGATTAGAAAATTATGAGCTGAAACTACTTTCTCGGAATATGTTGTGATCTTTTCTGTTTCAGTTTTCTGACATTTACGGTATTATCATAATACCATATTATGTAAGTCAGTGTATTCAAAGTTGAAATGTTGTGATAAGAAGAAAAGTCATTTTATTAATATAAATGATGTTGATAACGCTGTACATCAATTGCGTAAAGAATCAAGTGAAAGCAAAGAAAAGCACTGTTTATAATCAATTAAAATTTACAATTGTGAATAAAAAACGAAGAAGGAAAAAAAGAACACAATATCTTTGCAAAGTGAAAACATCGAATCATTTTCGTTGAAAAGTTAATGAACGAACAGTTCCATTTACCAGTTTCTAAATCAAAATAAGTACCTAATTGTTTATTTTGAACACATGACAACAAAATCTCACCGGTGTGTTTTTGTCTCTTAATTAATTATCATCGGCTGGTTGACCCAGGTCGAACAATCCCATACTCGGATCCCATCGGATCCAGCTTCGGATTTGTTGACCTGGGGAGTACAAATTTGTCAGGTGTCACCGTTGTTGACTAAAAAGGAAAAGAAGGAAGAAATCCAATCATATTCATGACTTAAACCATTTACCTGATGTAACGGTGAAACTGGTCATGGTGAAGAACTTCTATCATCGTTGTTGGCACACAATTCCTAAACGAAGCATAAGGAAAAACTACCCAGGTCGAACAATCCCATACTCGGATCCCACCGGATCCCATCGGATCCCATCCGATCCAATACAGAATTTTATCGGATCCTACAGGAATTCGACNCACATCAGTGTGAAGCTAGCACGAAGGAGCTAGCACGAACAAACGATTTTTTAGCTAAAAACGTTTTTACTAAGTATGTCCCGCCCATGAAAACTACACCATTCGACTCAGAATTTAATTCTGCTTCGAATGGTGGTACTTTTATTCACGGGACAAACTTTGGAAAAAATTTTACCTATATCTATGATTGCTTCCTTTAGGTCTATTTATAATCCAAATAGGATTTTTTCCAAAGTTTGTCCCGTGAATAAAAGTACCACCATTCGAAGCAGAATTAAATTCTGAGTCGAATGGTGTAGTTTTCATGGGCGGGACATACTTAGTAAAAAAGTTTTTAGCTAAAAAATCGTCTGTTCGTGCTAGCTCCTTCGTGCTAGCTTCATACTGATATGAATTCATGATAACAAATTAGCTTTGAGTAAACGCAAACCTTTAACACAAAAGTTGTTTTTTTATTTAGATACCATGATCAAAAAAGGTGAGAGCAATAACCCCTGAGACAGTGTCACACTGGACACTGCGTTTTTCAGTGACACTGACTCTATCAGTGCTTCGGTGGACACCACTAGAGATATCTTCAGTGTTCCGGTGATCGCCACTGTCAATGCGACTGAAACTTCATGTCAGAGTCCCTGGTGAAAAAGTACTTGTGCCGAATTCTGACAGTGACTGTCTATGCTTCTCGGCACGATGGTGTCTTGTGTAATCTGCATATTCACAAGCGTGCCTTTTCCTTCATTGACCATAACTTGTATAAGAGTTATCGAGCGCGACATAACGAAGAGACGGCAGGATCACTCTCCCGTGAACAGGTCGCATAGGGGAATTATAGCTATACGTTAACTATTCCAGTATTCGCTAACGATCAGTGACGGTGACGTCAATCGTCGGTGAGCTGACACTCCATATTATTAGATAGAATTACTCCTGCAAATCGGTGTGAAGCTAGCTCATGAATGCTAGCTACACGCCGATCTCCCGCAATCTATTATCTGCATACGACTATTTCAGCGATACATTTCGCAGGTTGTCGTTAGAATCCAAGAATTCACTCTAAAAGCAGACACAAAATTATTCTTGTCAAACTTGAGGATCCGTCGATATCTCACCACGATAGTTTGAATGGTTTGCTTAGCATACAGGACTAGGTGATGCTACAAAGCTGAAATGGAGTTTGGCAGTTAATTTTGAACTGCAGAGAATTATATAGAATTATGAGTTTCTCATTGTTATGATTCATAGTTCTGCACAAGACGTTGTATACGTTCAATATTTCTGTCTGTAGGACAGCGGACTGCTGGTGGTAGATGTCGGCAACGAACTTCGATATGATCAATCAAGTTCATTTCATATGTAGATCAATTACTTTGAATAGAAATTTCACTTTGAAGAAAGCCCGGTTTGCAAAAGACCCGCTGAATATGTGAAAAATGTGATTTTATCATAAAGTGATGTATTTTGTGAGGCGTTTTTGAAGACTTCGTGCAACTTTGATTTTGAAAGTTTTATAGGCGTTCGATAGCCCTAGATTTGCTCTATCGAAATAAGAAAAAATCATTCTGGGTGGCTTGCAAATGGTAGAGAAAAGCGAGTCACATTGGAAAAAAGGAGAAAAAAATAGTCGGATGACTCGCAGTTTTTTAGGTGAAAGCGATATGTTTTCTAGGTTTTAAGATAAGCCATATAAGCAGTTTTGTAGAGCTGAATTTTCTCTGCAAAATGGTATCAAATTTTCTAATATCACATTGAAATATAGTGACGAAAAAGCGATAGTTTTGAAAAACGTGAAAATTCGCGATTTTTTTGAAAAATTGCGCCGAAATGTTCAGTGTGAAGTTCATAACTCTTCAAGAGTATGCCCAAATGAGCTGAAAATTTGGGCGTATTAGTTTTTCGTCATGCTCTTTCATTTGCGATCATAAAAAACGGGGGTCAAAATTTTTGAGAGTATGACCATATTAGAAAATGCTCGATATTCTCATGGACTGTCTCTTAAATATTAACCAACCGATTACTTATTATTAATCCACGGACTATCAAATAATCAGCATCTAACTATTAAATACTACTTTATCATTTATTCACTATATGACTGTGACTTATCAGCCAACTAACGGTAACGAATCCCGTCTACATTGATCCTGAATATGCCGTTGTAGGCTGCACCCTCACCCTCGCCCTCAATTCTAAATTTAGAAGTTGAAAACTCGAATTGAAAGTCTCTTCGACTTGTACATGTATGTTCCAGAGTGAGGATATGGACGCTTTTCGTGAGTAACATCCTCATCAACTACAGCGGTATGGAGATAAAATGATCATAACTTACAAACTCATTCTGATGAGGAAATAAATATGTCTATAAGACTGCAAGTAGTCTGAGATTGGCATTCACATCTCATTTGTATCAAATGACTCATTGGTTTATTATCTGTGCATCTTACTGAGATAACCTAGGCATGCTACTGAGTATTTTGTTCTTATCTTTCCTTTTCGATTTAGTTACTTTGAATATATACAGTGTGCTTTTATTTGTGGTATGCGAATGTTTTCATTGAAGATAAATTATGATCTCTAATTCTTCAAAGACAATCTAAATACAATTTCACTAGCAAAACAATGCATATGACTATCTGCTACGCAATTCTCCTTTTGTTAAGTGTAGAGTGTTTCAAAGCATCGTACAAGTCACAGAATGGTTGTGGCTATGGAGTAATCAGAGAGTGTATATACTGAAAATTAGATGAGAGAACAATCTCTTTANTCCTGAGTAGAAGTATGAAAGTTCTTTCACATATTCTGTTTTATAGCTCGCAATAACATTCAACATGGGAGTGTTCAATATATTCTCGATTCAATCATCGAAGCATTAGTAAGGAACCCAGAACGACGTTTTATCTATGTTGAAATAGCCTTTTTCTGGCGTTGGTGGAATGAACAATCGAACGATACACGTAAGATTGTTAAAGAGCTCGTAAATGACGGTGAGTATAAACAAGAAATTTGAAGTTTGTTTTAAATTTATATAAATTAGGCCGTCTTGAATTTATTTCTGGTGGTTGGTGTATGCATGATGAAGCAACAACACATTACAATTCAATCATTGATCAACACAGTTTAGGAGCTGAATTTTTGCGAGATCAATTTGGTAATTGTGCTCGACCAAAAATTGCCTGGCAAATTGACCCCTTCGGGCATTCACGCGAAGCTGCATCACTTTTTGCACAAGTCTAATAATTCGGAAAAATATATAAATACTGTCTTTTTCCATTTTCAAGATGGGCTTCGATGGTCTGTTTTTTGCACGACTTGATTATCAAGATGAAGATCGACGTAATCAAACAAAAACGATGGAACTAGTTTGGAAGGGTAGTGCCAATCTAGGTATATATTGAAAGAGACTTCTATAGAAGTTCTACAGATATAAACATATTTCTAGGCCATCAGAGTTGGTTATTTACAAGTATTTTATNCCGAAACATGGATTTCCTGGATTTTCTAAGGATCATCATAGAATATAGCTAGAAAGATCGCTCATAAAATTTGCAACAACCGACGGGATTTTTCTAGTCGGATTCCAATGCAATTCCGTTTCCAGGAATCCGATCGGATTTTGTCGGATGGTCGGATCCGGTAAGATCCGATCGGATCCAGCATCGGATTTGTTGACCTGGGTAAGTACAATTGATCATGCGTATACAATTGCATTTAGCCATTTTAAAACGACGATTACTATTCGTGCCGTATGAAGTACATCATTGGTTTCGAATTTTGAAATCGAAGCCGCTTTTTCATATGGAGTGGACGTGAAAATCGAATTATCTTTCAATTTGACGACGGACAAAGCATTGTATTCATCAATTAATATCGCAGATATAAGTAGTGTAGAAATCGTTAATTCGATTCGAGTATTCGAGTTTTAAACTATTCAACTTCTAAATGTAGAATTCGAAGTTTCGAGTTTTCCGCTTACCAACTCGTAAGTGATTGATCGTAAATCCTTGAGTGACTGATTATTAACTATTATCTAACTGTTAATTAAATATTAACCAACCGATTACTTATTATCAATCAACGGACTATCAAGTAATCGGCATCTGACTATTAAATACTAATTAATCATTTATTCACTATATGACTATAACTTATCAGCCAACTAATGGTAACGAATCCCGTTCACATTGCCGTTGTAGGCTGCATCCTCTCCAACACCCTCACCCACACCCTCAAGATAATCAAATAGTTGATAATTGATAATCAGTTAGATAATAGATGACAGACAGTTAATCATTAATAATTAGTATTTAGTTAGTGGATATTTAATAGCCCATTAGTTAAGAGTTTAAAACTCGAAGCTTCGAATTCTAAATTTAGAAGTTGAAAACTCGAATTGAAAGTTTAATGCTCGAATAGTCTCTTCGACTTTTACATGTATGTTTTTCCACCCTAAAGACCGCTATCAGGTATAACCGCTTCGCATCCATTCTCTGCATGACTCATAAATACCCTACGGGGACGTGGACTCATAGTAATACCGACAATCTCATTTTAAAAATTTCTGTAAAAACCACGAATCCAAAAACAAATTCCTGGCCTAGTTACATTTACTACTGTCTGGGTTCAAAATGACCCAGGTTGGGAGTACGAGGATTAAACGAGATTGAAATGTTAAAATATTTAAATAAAAGAAAACAACCATATTACAATACATTCCAGAGTGAGGATATGGACGCCTTTCGTGAGTAACATCCTCATATCCTCATCAACTACAACCGTATGGAGATAAAATGAGCATAACTTACAAACTCATTCTGATGAGAGAATAAATACGCCTAAGACTAGTAGTCTGAGATTGGCACTCACACTCTTTTTGTATCGAATGACTCATTGGTTTATTATCTGTGCATCTTACTGAGATAACCTAGGCATGCTACTGAGTATTTTGTTCTTATCTTTCTCTTTCAATTTAGTTACTTTGAATATATACAGTGTGCTTTTATTTGTGGTATGCGAACGTTTTCATTGAAGATAAATTATGATTTCTAATTCTTTCAAGACGAGCTAAATACAATTTCACTAGCAAAACAATGCATATTACTATCTACTACGCAATTCTCCTTTTGTTGGGTGTAGGGTGTTTTGAAGCAACGTACAAGTCACAGAGTGGTTGTGGCTATGGAGTAATCAGAGTGTGTGTATATTGAAAATTAGACGAGAGAACAATCTCTTTATAGTCATGCAATCTGGGTCAAACAAATAAACTTAATGTTCACATAGTACCACACACACATGACGATGTCGGTTGGCTTAAAACCATTGATCAATATTATTATGGATGTGAATAAGATCTTGAGTAGACGTACGAAATTTCTTCCACATGTTCTGTTTTATAGCTCGCAATAACATTCAGCATGCGAGTGTTCAATATATTCTCGATTCAATCATCGAAGCATTAGTAAAGAACCCAGAACGACGTTTTATCTATGTTGAAATAGCCTTTTTTTGGCGTTGGTGGAATGAACAATCGAACGATACACGGAAGGTTGTTAAAGAGCTCGTAAATGGCGGTGAGTATAAATAAGAAATTTCAAGTTTGTTTTAAATCTATATAAATTAGGTCGTCTTGAATTTATTTCTGGTGGTTGGTGTATGCATGATGAAGCAACAACACATTACAATTCAATCATTGATCAGCACAGTTTAGGAGCTGAGTTTTTGCGGGATCAATTTGGTAATTGTGCTCGACCGAAAATTGCCTGGCAAATTGACCCCTTCGGGCATTCACGCGAAGCTGCATCACTTTTTGCACAGGTCTAATAATTCAGAAAAGCATATAAACACTGTATTTTTCCATTTTCAAGATGGGCTTCGATGGTCTGTTTTTTGCACGACTTGATTATCAAGATGAAGATCGACGTAATCAAACAAAAACGATGGAACTAGTTTGGAAGGGCAGTGCCAATCTAGGTATATATTGATAAACACTTCTATAGAAGTTCTACAGGTATATACATATTTCTAGACCGTCAGAGTTGGTTATTTACAAGTATTTTATCGAATTTTTATGATCCACCAGACACATTCTGCTTCGATTCATCTTGTCAAGATCAACCCATTATAGTCAGTCATGTCTATCATTGGTTTTTGCATGTATATGTTGGTTTTAGGATGATCCACGTTTACATGATTACAATGTTCCTGAACGTGTTCAAGCATTTATCAATGCTGCACATGATCAAGTTTGTTTCTATGAAATAAACTTACAGATTTCGTATTGTTTTTCTAGGCACGAGGTTTTGTTACTAATCATATCATAATGACAATGGGTCGTGATTTTCAATATGAAAATGCAAATACATGGTTCAAAAACTTGGATAAATTGATTAAATATGTCAATGCTCAAGTATTCATTCATTTTTCAATTATCATTTCTATTTGTTTATTTAGCAAGTGAATGGTAGTGATGTTAATGTATTCTATTCAACACCATCATGTTACATATATGCATTGAACAAAGTTGGTAGAGAATGGACATCGAAAATTGATGATTTTCTTCCCTATGGAGATACTCCACATGGATTTTGGACAGGTTTTTATACTTCACGACCTGCGTTCAAACGTTATGAACGATATGCAAATAATATTCTTCAAGCTACACGTCAACTCAATGCATTTTCACAAATAAATTTACGAAATAGAATCTTTTATTTGAGTAAGATGAGTATATTTTATTGTCTCAATTTAACCTTGTCAGTATTGGAGGTGAAGCAATGGGTATTGCTCAACATCATGATGCAATTAGTGGAACAGAGAAACAACATGTTGCTGATGATTATATTCAACGATTATCTTATGGAATAGATATAGCTGAGGTATATCAACAAAAAAATATGATCTCATTTGAAATTGTTCTTTTGTTTTCGTAGGACGTAATTAATAATGCTTACGCTAAATTATTGCCGAAAGAAAATAAATTATCAATGACACCAACTCAATTTCTTTGTGAATATTTAAACATTAGCGAATGTTTACCTATCGAAGAGCAGAAAGAAGTAAATATAGAACAAATGTTTTCTTGCATCTGTAGTGAATCATGTACGGTATCTTCAAAGTTTACATTGACACTTTGGAATCCAACCATTCATCCCGTTACTCATCATGTGCGTATACCTATTACAAAAGAATATTTGATTCGCGATCCAACAGGAAGTATTGTATCAGCTGAAGTACAATTTAAAAAAAGAAAGTTTCCAAGTATTATATTCTGTATTTTCTTAGTATCTTCCAATTTCCAATATGACACAAAACATTCCTGGTCGAAACAGTTCTGCTCAAAATCAGTACATATTCACGGCTCAACTACCTGCTCTTGGTTTTAGCACTTATTATTTTGAAGCTAAAAGTATATAACTAATCAGTGTATCATTTTCTTAAAGTTTATTGGTTTCGTAGGCAGTAAGAAGGAGAAAACTGAAAAAGAGAAGGTACGAAAGGAAACGTGCTATCTGGAGAACGAAGTAAAAGATTGAATTACGCTCTATAAACTCGAGTTTGATAGTAATTGGTAGAATCTTCGAATAGAATTCGATGATCAAGGCAATCTACGTAAAATCATTAATTTGAAAAAGCATATTTCAGTACGATTTATCACACAGGGTTTCTATTGGTATTCAAGTAAGTGAATAGACAGTATAGTTTGATATTGTTTGCTTAATTTATTCACTAGGCTTTCCCGGCAATAATTCTGCTGAAGAATTTCAAGCATCTGGAGCCTATGTTTTCAGACCGTTGACATCGGAAGTACGACCTGTGAGCACTACTCGTACTATGTGAGAGATTCATGGAACTTATTCTTGTCATAATTTCAACTGTAAACTTAGAACATGTATAAAAACGAAAACAGTACAATCGGCATTAATTGTATTTAATGAATGGGCCAGTCAAGAAATACATCTTTTTCAAGGAATGTCATCCATTGAAATGCAATGGACAGTCGGACCTATTCCGATTGATGATAATATTGGTAAAGAGATCATCGTACGGTATGATACTGACATCGATAGTGCATCGAAATATTACACGGATGCTAATGGACGTGAAGTACTTGAACGAATACGTAATTATCGACCAACATGGAACTATTCTATTATCGAAAATGTTAGTGGCAATTATTATCCAATCAATAGTCGCATTTGGATTCGAGATAGTACACGGCAGTTGACTATACTTACGGGTAATTATAGAACCGGCTACAAACTATTTCTGTAACATTTTTTGAAAATTCTTCTCTTTGTAGATCGATCTGAAGGAGGTGGAAGTATTTACGACGGTTCAATCGAAATTATGATTCATCGCCGTTTAGTCCACGATGATTCAGAAGGTGTTGATGAACCGTTAAATGAGACAGCTTTTGGTAAAGGTCTTGTAGTACGTGGTAAACATTTTCTCATTCTCGAATCACCTGCTAATAGTGCTCTTGCTCATCGAGTCGATGCTCAACAATTGTTTATGAATCCTATTGCTACATTTGCGTTGCCTCAAATATCTTATACAAAATATTCCAGTATTTATCGTCAAACATGGTCTGCTCTATCGGAAAACATGCCACTCAATGTTCATTTATTAACACTTGATCAATTGAATCCTAAACAATATCTTCTCCGTATTGAGCATTATTTTGAATTGAACGAAGATGAAACCTATTCACACCCGGTTAAAATTGATCTACAAACAATATTTCAAAGTCTCGGTACAATTACTGGTCTAATTGAATTGACACTTGCTGCCAATTTTCCTCTGTCTCAATTGCAACGACTTGACTGGATAACAACTGATAAACAATCATCACATGTTGATGTTTCATCTGGTGAGTAATTGTTTCGATCAATAAAACCTACTTAGATTATATCCTTTTGTTCTATAGAGCAATTTTTATTAAAAGATACAATAGTCATACTCAATCCAATGCAAATTAAAACATTTCAAGTTACATTGTGATACGAACGATTTTGCGATTGAATTATTGTATTCTTTTTATTATACATTTGTTCTACAGTTTTGATTTTGATGCAGACAAATCGAACATTATTATCTTTCTTTAGAATGACATGAATTAGATTGGAAAATCAGAAGAATGTGTATGAAAAATATTCAATACTTCAGATGTATCGTTATTCTCATTTAAATCCTGCAGTTAACTTTTGACAAAGTTTGTAATAATTTCTTATTTATTTTACAATATGAATATGCTATGCTACCATATATGATCATAATGATGCATTCATAGCACTAGAGTCCAAAGATGTTTTTAAAAAAATTTGCAAACTATTTAAGATGTTCATAAATAGGATCGAGATTTATAAATTCGGACAAACTCGAACACGTAACAAACGTCTACGAAATTTCAAAGCTCTTAAAAGATTAATAAGACATTTTAAATAACAACATCGATAAATTTTACGCGGAAGCTCCTTTAGTGCATATAGTCACATTGCCAGTCAATGCGACACAGTAGTGACAATCAATTCTTCTGCACAACTCGACACAATTATATATAAAACTCTCGATAAAGATCAATAGAGTTAATCACCGCGGAGTGTACAACGGATGCTTCGGGTTAAATATGTTTCGTTTTACGATGTGAAAATATGTAAAAGTATTCTTTTCTGCACATCTCAGTGAGATGACATATATTATCAATTCAGAAATAAAAGTAAGTGAATAATTACAGAACATAAATTATCCCTGCTGGCGAAAAACTCGAAAGTTGATCGAAGTTTATTTAGAATGCTTATCATGAATGGAAAAACTTTCAATGCAACAACTGATCCATTCTTTTTTGAATTTATTCGAAAATTGAATCCATCATATAATTCATCGGATAGAATGACTCGATTCTCAACCAACTCACATATTTCACATTTAATGTTGATGGATTGAGTGATTAAAGTAAGGAAGCGCGGTAAATGGAGGTAGTTATACTGCTGAAATTTTCTGCTCGAACGTCTTGAAATAATATTAATTCGAACATCAACCATATTTGATATTAATAAAAGGCTAGTTGCAATTGTCACAAATAACCCAATAACTGTTATGCGGAAATTCCACAATTTATTGAAACTGAAATTCTTCTTTTCTTTAAAATATAAAGAGAGAGAGAGTGAAAAAAGATGTTCAATTTCAAATGAATTTATATTTCAAGTATTAATTTAAAGTAATAAGAATATCTTCAAAACAATCAGAACAGTTTCATAGCATTTTTCATGAATACTTTTATTATTGTTTCTTTTTCTTTTTGTTTTGAATCATTTCATTTGACTTTGATTGTGAAATACAATTGAATATTTGAGGGTGTGATGACAAATGTAGATGTGGGCGTCTGTAAGTATAGGTTTAAAAGAAATATCTTTACCCACATCCTCAAGATTTCGAAAATGTAGCCTTTTTTGTGTGCGTCTTGTAATATGCTACATCTATCCTTACCAGGTAGCCTACGCATTCCAGAAATAACCATCATAATGATGGTCACTGTGCTACCTTCCAAAGTATTGTTTTGATTCAATGTATTATCGAACCATTGAAAACTAACAGCTCTGTATTGAACTTGTCCTAAACAATTTCTTTGACATTTATAAATCTTTGATGTAATAATGGTAGTATAAGGAAAACATGACGTTGTAGCACAATGAAATCGCCATCCATTCATCATGGACATTTTCAATGACCTTAAATCTTGAGCAGTTAATTGTCATTGAATGGTGATTGAAAGTATCACTATTAATTTGATACAATTCATAGGTATTGTCAAACTCTGATTTATTTAATGGAATAAAACTCAAAGCATAAAACTACTATTTATGAGTAACTTTTTATATTCTTTCCTTTCTCTGTTTTTTAATTTCTGATTATATCTTTTTAAAGGCACTTATTATTCTGTTACTAAGATTTGATCAACTCTATCTGTATTCTGCGAAACAACTTTTTTCTTAATTATTCTTGGAAAAATTGTTTTTGTAAAACGCAATTCAGTATATTATCTTTGAATTCATCGTTGAAATTGATGAGATTTAGTTTAATTTAACAACAGAAAAGCTATTGATCGCAACTAAATAATTAGAAATTAGAACAAAAAAATGACTGAACATAATGAAATATTAGCTGTTCCTCTAAATGAACTGAGCATTTAATCGTAAAGAATGTGCGCATTGGCCAATAAATTTCGAAGAATAATGCTTTTATTAATGTTATGATTGCTAACTCTAATTGTTTGAGTAACTCTGTTAACTAAAATAATACATGGTATTAAGTTCAATTTACATTTATAATAGAGTATTAAATAGATAGTTGACTAATAATACAATGTCAATAACAATAGTCACTGAAGATAGAACTCTAGGTTTTGTTCCGAATAAATTTTCCGATCATCATAAAATTCCTTTGAAATCACGTAGAAGTGCGTTCTTTTGCCTATATTTACCTTTAATAAAGAATGTAATCAATGAAATATATCTGCTGATAAACTTACACTTCTTTCAGATGATTTTTGTCAACTTTAGTTTTGGGTACTGACCTTTGTATTCTTTTACAATATCTTGAAAGATCTCTTAAAGAGAAAATGATAAATCTTATCACAGTGAATGTACTTGTAAGTACTTCTACCTGAAGTTACCAGTGATCTTTTTTATCACATATTTATTTATCTTCGTATTTTCAGGCGCCCATTCTCTTATTCCGAAATGAAGTACGGACAAAATTGAACA